CTAATGTTATTTTGTTTCTCTGACAGACTATGTGTCATTTCATAAAATGTAATGCCCCCATCCCCACTACACACACACACACACACACACACACAGCAATGTATTAATGAGAAAAAAATAGTAAAACCCAAAAAAAAGACTTTTATGTTTCCTGTGAATCACACGGGAATAATGTGAGAACCCAACCTGAGGTCAAAGGTGAGGTTTTGCTCAGAGGAAACATACCTGAGACCTAACAAAAGAAGCCACAGACTCAGAATCACTGAACACTTTAATACATTTGAACGCTGAACCTTTGAGTTTATAATGACCTGAAACCCAACATTCAGTCCCTGAAAGCAGAGAAAAGCTCCCGAAAAGTCTCGCCTCACATCGAGCAGAGTCATTTGTCCCTTTGGTTATGAACATCTAAACTATAAAATCTACAGCAGTACAACATGGACGATGGTGGTGGTCACATTCTTTACCGTCCCTGTGCTATTTACAGTTATAAGCTAAATATGATTTATTAATAGAAATAAGAATAAACGTGTGTGGTTGGCACCAGTCTGATCCACTGAACAGGAAATGATGCAACATTTGGTCTATTCAAGCTGATTTAGTCCTTATAACACACACAAGCAAAACACGTGTTTTCTAATAGAATTCAATTAACACAATTTAATTAAGTGTTTTGGACTTTATTATTAGGATTTTTGTATTTCTTAAGAGTTCATGTGAATTGTCAAAAATCCCATTTTTGCATCAATAGATGAATAAATGTGTGATTCTTTACTTCATCTAAAATGTTTAAATCCAGTTCCTTAGTGGTGCAGCAGAATGTTTCAGTCTGATCATCAGATTTTCTGCTAAAAGCCTAGATTTGTGTTCAAGTTTTTTTTATTGTCTAAGAATATACATGAAGCCATAAAAATGATGCTAATCACTTAGCTTTTTTACTTGAGCCTGCTGAACACACATCTAGCTGTTCTGGGCTAACTTGGCACACAGCAGGAGCAGAATGATCTTTTTCCTCAGATAGATGCAAAATTACTAATGTGTATCTTCCTGTAAAGTCCAGTAGAGGGCAGTGCGGGGCAGTAAATAAACCCAGGTGATGTTCTGCAGCCTTACTGGGGTAGAGGTCACGGCGTGTTTCCATGAAACATTCATGTGTTCAGTTTTATCGCTGACTTTATCCTCTCAGCTTTCTGATTCTGTGACCTGTTTTATCACGACCTCGTGATCCAGAACACAAACCAGGAATTCACGGATGTTTTCTCCATAAAACTGGAGTTCTCTCCTCAAGAATGACAAAGAAAAGGTGGATTACAGATGTCGTCTTGTTTCTTTTAAAAGTAAAACGCTCATCTTCACAGGTGGAGGCACTGACAGCCTGGTCCTCCAACATCCGCCTCATCTCAACAGGAAAGAGGGAGTCGTGTCGTCCATGTCCATCCGTCCAGTTCAAGAACCATAAACCCACGTTCTCCAAGTCAAACCTCCATCACCTCCATCACTATTGTCCTGGGTCCAGTCAGGATCAGGTTACTGACGGTCTGGTAGTCGTGGCAGAAGACGTTCAGTCCATTCACGGACACAACATACTGACACACCTGGAGACACGAGGACAGACAGGAGAGACGATGGAAACCTGACTGCTTTCATGTTTATTACATATTAGTCATTTCATGTGTTTTACACTAAAGATCAGTTCTTCAAGTTTGAGCCTTAAATAAATCAAAAGATTGACACACATTGGATTAGCCACGGATTGACAAATGATGGTGTTAAAGCTGTTTTAGTCAAATCAAAGACTCCATATTAAATCATTTAAATATCTTTACTTGGAGTTCGGGTTGTGAAGGAAACTTCTGCTCAATGTCTGTAAAACTGACTCAGACATTTTTGTATTCAATTCCAAAAGTCAGCCACGCGTGGATGAACATCCAATGATTCGTTTTGAAGAGTTTCATTAGAATCCAGAAGTGGTCCATGAAGATTTTGCAAAAATAAAAAAACACACAAATGCACAGGTGAATGAATCAAACACACCCAACACAACCTGTGGAAGGATTTTCCCTTCGTCTGTTGTGCTTTTGACTTGATACTGGCTGGTTTAGATTCCCTTTGAAACAGAAAAGCTCAGTTTTCCTGTATGATTGCTGCAGCCAGCACATTTCCGTACTGATGCTCCTCAGCTGTGATCCTCAGAGAAAAAAGCTCCTTTCACCGTTTTAGCTTAACATTCAAATAATGTTTATTCTAGGTGTTCAGTTATAAAAGAGGAGTGCAGGAAATCCCAGGCCATGATGTAACCAAACACAGAAAGGGTCAGTGAACCCGTCCAGATCTCCAAGGTCATAAAGATGTAATTGAGGCTGTTTAACACTGGGAACATCAGAACAGCCACACCTGCATCACTCATCTAACCAGCTCAGTGGCCTAGTGGTCTGTGTGTCCTGAGACTGGGAGATCGTGGGTTCAAATCCACGATCGGGTCATACCAAAGACTTAAAAATGGGGCACAATGCCTCCCTGCTTGACACTCAGCATTAAGGGGTTTAGCTGGAGGGTTAAACCCGCACACAGCCGTGTCTGCAGCTTCGATCCCTACAACATGTTCAAGTCTTTCTAAAAGAACATTGTGATCAACTGTGTCAAATGCAGCACTGAGATCTAACAAGACTAGAACAGACACAAGATTCTTATCTGAGGCCATGAGAATATCATTTGTAACTCTCACTAATGCAGTTTCAGTGCTGTGATACTCTCTAAAACCAGACTGAAATTCCTCAAACAGAACATTAGTGTTTAAATGCTGACATACTTGGATGGTCACTATTTTCTCCAGGACTTTGGATAAAAATGGAAGGTTAGATATTGGTCTATAATTCATTGGGTCATCTGGATCCAGAGAAGGCTTCTTAAGTGAAGGTTTGATTACAGCAACCTTAAAATCTTGTGGTACATACCCATTTACTAAGGATAGATTGATTGTATCTAGAATGGGGGCAGTAACCAAAGGAAATGAATCTTTAAATAATTTGGTTGGGATTGGATCCAAAATGCAAGTTGAAGGTTTAGATGAAGCTAATATTTTTGATAACTCTGAAAGCTCAACTGGATCAAACCGGTTCAAGCACAGATGAGGTTCTACAGTCACCTCTAAAGCTGCCTCACTTACTGAGGGAGAAGAAATCGCATAAGGGAGGATGCTAAAGATTTTGTTTCTAATAGAATTAATTTTACTTGTAAAAAATCCCATTAAGTCATTGCTGCTGAGGGCTAAGGGAATAGATGGCTCAGAGCTATGATTCTGTGTAAGTTTAGCAACTGTTGTGGGCATTATCTGTTATTGTTAAAGAAGGAGTCGGAGACGGGCATCTCAGTCAGACAGCGCGGGTCTCTTTATTCATTCATCTCACAGCTCAGGACAGCCAAAGACAAAAGACCTTGACCAAATGTGGAGTCCTAAATTTATACTTTTTGTCCCTGGGTTACTCCCACAGTCCTTTGATATTTGGAGAGAGGATGGGGTGATGTTTACACTTCCCAATATGGTTGACGCACCCTCCAGCCCAGAGGTCGACGAGCCCTGTTATCCCAATATGATCCGAGAGCTCAAGGTTTGCTGGAGCTGGTTTACATAAGCTGGACTGAAAAAACAACATGTTAAATTGCATGCACACTGAAACAGCTTTTGGCACCTTCAGTCTCAGTAAGCTTTTAACCTAAGGTCTCACAATTCAGCTCAATATATGTTGTAGATGACCTCTTGACCTTTTTGGCGACAACACTGTACTGAAAAGAAATTTAGGATTATGCTTATTCTCCTCAATTAATGCTGAAAAATAAGCAGTTCTAGTTTGTTGAAGCTTATTTTTATAAAGCACAAGACTATTTTTCCAGGATAGGTAGGCCTCCTCATGGTGCGTAGAGCGCCATGTTCTCTCCAATTTCCTAGAGTTTTGTTTTAAGGCTCGTAATGAGAGTTAAACCAGGGAGCCAACTTCCTGTCCCTAATTACCTTCTTTTTTAAAGGGGCTACATCATCTAATGCCACATGTAAAGAGGAATTAACATGATGACTGTAATTAATCTGAACACATCTTTGAGCGGAGACATTAAAGACAATGTCCTGATGCATGAATCAAACAATACAGTAAAACATGTAACGGATGTCATATTTAGTATAGCATAAATTTATTAGAGGTAGTTTCAAATGTAGAGCTGGATGACCTTCAGAAAAATATACTTTAAAGAATATCTGTGGACATCCATTTGAAATATTTGTTATATTTGGATTTTGTATAAACAAAGAACTAATATGTTTAAAATTCTATATTTGTTACAGCTATGATAACATCACCTCCACTCTGCTGACTCACACTCAGTGTTCAAGACCAAAGCCTCCAGATGTATCAATAATTCAGGATTCACTGTCGGATCGGTAAGTTCCCAGCAAACAAACTGAGTGGTGCATGTGCGTAAGAATGTTGGATAGAAAAAGGCATACCAATTATCATGTGTTAGCTGTGTATTCATTTGTGTGTGTGTGTGTGTGTGTGTGTGTGTGTGTGTGTGTGTGTGTGTGTGTGTGTGTGTGTGTGTGTGTGTGTGTGTGTGTGTGTGAATTACAGAGAAGCTGATTTCTCTGTCGAGGACAGACATTGCGCCTTTGTTCAGTATTTATGGCGCATGTGTTCATTACATTCGTGTTTATTAACTCATTCACTGCCAGACGATTCCTGATCAGTAAAGCCGTTTGCTGCAAAAAATTTTAAAAGTTTGGATTTAAAATGACGACTTTTGTCGTCAATGGCAGTGAATGAGTTAATGAACTGACCTAGATTGGAATGTTTATTATGTGAAGTGCCTTGAGATGACTCTTGTCGTGATTTGGCGCTATATAAATAAAATAGAATTGAAAGGTGTTGTGCAAATACATTTGATTGATTGATTGAAAATAAAGCCAAGAAAACGTTAAATGCCCTTAATTGAAGATACACACATGGTATGCTTGCAACTACCTTTATTTTATGTAGTGATTGCATAAGTTATTAATTAAAGTAAAAATCAGGCAAGTTAAAGTAAAAATCAGGCAATTTATAACAGAAAAAAATAATTCATACAATATATAGGCTAAATTTTTCAGTTTTGGGAGAAACGTATAAAAAGCTGAAAACAAACAAAAACAATAAAACTACACAGATTTAACAGAAACTTGAATCAGTTGCCGTTCCCGGGTCCCTGTCCAACTTATTAGGTGTGCAAAGCATCTGGCTTGAGGAGCAGCCTGCTGTGCCAGTAGTCTGGGTTGTCAAATGATGTGTTGCTGCCAGGGTCCCCTATGCCAGCACACACCTTGATGTAGTCCCCGATCCCCGCGCACCTGGCACCGCCCATCCCCTCGGCAACAACCCTCTCCTTCACTGGGAGGTTCTCATATTGTGAGTGACCCCACCTATCTGGAACTTCTCCAAATCCAGTCATTTCCTCGTACTCTTCCACATTTCTTCCTCCAGCTGTCAGCACATCTGGTTCAGGTGTGACAGGACTGCTTAGATGTCCCTGAAGAGTGGTTTGTTTATTAGTATTATAGCAATTTTCAACTTCTTCCCCCATTTGCACTTTTCTTAACACTCCCATAATTTGGTCTGTGTCCTCTGCGTGGTCTACTGTAGGTGTTTGACTCCTGTTTTTGTGCAGATCTGGGTCACTTCCCTCTGAAGACTCAGAGCGCCTTATGTCCATGTACTCATACCTGCCAATCCCTTGGCCTGCCTCTACTTGGTCATCCCCTAGTTTCATTTCTCTAGTAGAGTCAAGCTCTTGTTTCTTTGTCAAGTCTCTTTGTTCTTCTGCAACTTCTTCCAAAGCCTCTGGTTTTTGATTATTTCTGACTGGAGTTTCTGCTCGTGGTGTTTCTACATGTGAAAAATCCATGAAAGTGGGAGAAGGTAAAGGTGTAAGTCCAGCTGTCATGTTGTCTCCCCGCAATGAGATGCTGCTGGTGGAACAGGGAGGAACACTAGCCTCTGTACTCATGAATTCATATTCCTGGGAAGAATTTGCCATTTTAGGAACAGAATTATTTTTATGTCTTGAGTTCTTTTTGCCAGATCGAGATGGTCTGGATGCTGCGAGTCATGAATACAAACAAAAAGAAGATTATGGATAGAAAAAACACTTATCTCGTTGCTCTATTGTTTCATTCACAAGGCAATAAAATACACACAATTTACCTCTTTCTGATGCTCCAGGTGACCCAGGCAGAACATAGCCGTAGTGGTCCAACTCCTCTTCCTCAGCCGTCCACACCTTGTATGAGGAAGGACTGGAGGCTGTTGAAAGCTTCCTGTGTCGGTTGATGGCCACTCGGCGGGTACTCTGGTCGGAGCCAAGCCTCGCCCGATGGAAACTTCCATTTTGCAAGGCTTCCTCTCGCAGATCAGGCTCCCTGCCATAGCCCCAGACCTCTGACCGCTCAGGTAGTGTGTGCACTGAGCTCAAACGAGACCTGCGAAACCACTGCTGAAGAAAAATGAGTGACCCATTTAAATGTGTCAAATTTGTCAATGTTAACAAAGTTTTTAGTTAAAACCAAATGGAATTTTTTGGTAATTTAGTACTCAAGATTTTTTTTCTACCAGTCGGATGCTGTCTGCAGGACTTGGAGTCATAGCCAAGTATCCAGCTGGCCCTGCTTGAGACGTGCCACTCTGCAGAAGAAGGATAAGCATTATGCTCTCAGGGATCAAAATAAAAATCAGGTTGAAGCCACCCTTGTTATACCCTGTATGAATTGATCCGGGAACGTGACAAACTCCAAGATGGAGAGTGCTGGAGAGGAGGAGTGGCCAAACCATCGTCCAGCCCCACCTCATCTGTGTCCTCCAAATCTGCATCCAGGAGTCCTCGTTCGGACTCTCTGCGATGAACTTCCCCAGGCGTAGCGTCTTCTCCCTCCTGCTGCAATGTACCAAGGAAAACAGGGTGTAAGGTCAGGGTTGAAATACAAATCCATGGTGAGCAAGGCATAAAACTGCAAAGGTGTGGAACGCTCATTTAATCAATTTGCTGTGGTCTCTAGAATACTCGGGGGGTGGGGGGTGGGTGTGGGGGGGTGGGGCACCGGTGCACCATTTCCAGAAACTAAAAGTGTGACACATCACAGCTGAGCTTCAGACAGCAGGTTGTGTTGTATTGGATAACACCAACACGACTCTACCACAAACTCTATTTGCTCTGCAATGTGGATGTTTTTTCTCCACAAATAACCCAAGCCTGAAGGTTACTAATGCTAACAGTTAGCTTCTACCAGCCAAGACATTCTCTACTGTTTTTCTCTACGCTAGAACAACAACAGCCTTCCCCGTCGCGAGTCAAGATGGATGAGTCCATGAATGTTACAGTTTTTTTTCGATTGCTAAAACTCAAAAAGCAAAAATGAGGCACAATTTTCACAACCTCTACTTCTGTTCCCAATCTCTTGACTCAATTTATCACTACTTAAGATTTCCTTATCATATTAGAACTCTGATTTTCCTCCTTTACACTCTGATGTCAATTTCACATTATCTTGCTGTCAAAACACAGCACACAATTTTCAGGTTTACACACACTTCTCACATAAATTCTCAAAGCTTCAATCAACAACACACAAATATTCAAATCTCTAAACTTTCGGGTCTGGCGAGCAATTTGAAATCAGGGACTGCAGCATAAAAGTAAGTTTCCACAAGGCTACCCAGGTGTATGAGTGGTTTCAGGACCACCCACGGTTTTCCATTTTATACCTTCCACCTTATTCCCCCTTCCTCAATCCCACTGAGGATAAAAATAAAATGTTTTGTCTCAAAATTTGTGTGTGTGTGTGTGTGTGTGTGTGTGGGGGGGGGGGTGGTGGTGGGGGGGGGGGGGGGGGGGGGTAACTGTAAAAATAAAATGTTTTGTCTCAAAATTTGTGTGATGTCTAATGTTTGTCTCAGAGAAAAGTGGGCACTGTCATACATTCAGTGTATAATTCATTGTGTTCCCCTTCGACAATTGTGTTTTCAGTTTTGCTCTTCAGTGTTCTTTCCATGCTTGGTAGTGTTCACCCAAAGGCTACTTGTGTTTAAGCAATGAATGGTATGTGTGTGTCATGTGAAAATGTGGCTGTGTTTACCAAATGAAAACGCGTGTTCCATTTTGGAAACATGTTACAATATGTGGTGGCAGGGTTTTGTTGCAAAGGGAAGCCACGGTTTAGGAATTTGTGTGTTATGTTTGGGATTTTGTGTGTGCAGTTTTGAAAGAAGTGTACAGTTTTGAAAAACACGTTTTAGCAATCGAAAAAAACTGTAAGTGACGTTGTGATGTCACACTGTCAGGCTTTTCAAATCCTAGTGTTTCACCATCTATTTTCTATCAGACGCTAATGCAGGAGATAGGTATGGGAGACTATTTTCACATGCAGCCTGCATGAAAAACTCACAGTGACCGATTATGATCATAAACAGCATTTTAAAAATAGTTTTTCAGTGTTCCACACCTTTAAGCAACTGCAATGGTCTCACCTTTATAACAAGGTATCTAAGTGGATCTCTTGCCATCCGAGTAAAGTCACTGGCAAGCTCTTTAAAGGTCGGCCTTATATTTTCATCAATCATCCAGCCTAAGCAAAGTGAGACGTGTACAAAAAAATTACAATTTAGATGCACATTCACTTCATTTTCTTTAAGCAGCCATTAGGAGAAAAACTAATCTCCCCAGTCAGACAATATAATGCATCACATCATATTGTATCATATTGTACTTCACCATATTATACCATATATGCTAAAGTATTGCATAATACCCCATGATATCATACTTATATATCCACTAATATTGCTTCATGACAAATATCATCTGGTGTCACATTGTCTCAGCTATCATCAAATTGCGTATGAATGTGCTTGTTTACAAAAGAAATGAATGTTTAGGCTGACATTTAACCATGACCATGTAAACATCAATGGTGCAGATGTAGGGCTGTGGTAGACGTTCGCCCTTCTCCAGGAGACTCGGCACTTTTTGCACTGACTGCACAGACGTGTACGGCTCTGCCCCAAATGACATCATCTCCCACACTGTCACTCCTGTTTAGAAAGTGCAGTATCTCATTAAATTCACCATCAACACCACAGGGAGACAGGAGATGTTCAGAGAGTCTCATACCATAGCTCCAAACATCACTTTGGTGTGTATATCTTCTAAACAAGATGCTTTCTAGTGCCATCCATTTAATGGGAGTCTGAACGAGAGAATTATAATCAAGAAAGATCGTTTTAACAGCCAGTGAGAAAAATCAAGAATCAATTTTCATCTAAATAGTCACCTTTGTGTCTGTGTAGACATATTTTTTATCATCTGGACAAAGAAGATCTGCCACACCGTAGTCTGAGATCTGGACCTGATAGTCATTCTTCAGCAGAATGTTACGGGCAGCCAAATTCCTGTGGACTATGCAATGTTCCTCCAAATAGAACATACCCTAAAACACAAAATTACAAAGTTATCTCAAAATCTTGAATAAGAATGTTTAATTTCTTAAAGAGGTCAAGATGTGCTCACCTTGGCTATCTGCACGCACCAGTTGAGCAGGCGCTGAGGGTCCAGGTTATTCCTGTGCTGTCTGATGTGCTCCAGCAAAGATCCATAAGAACTGAGCTGCGTCACCAGCTGCAAGCTGGCACCAGGACAGATTCCCAGTAATCTAACAATGTAGGGGTGGTCCAGGCTGCCCATGGACAGCATGTGCTTCAGACAAGAATAAAGGGTTTGACATCTGTAAAGTGTATGGCATCCCAAAAATATCAAACATTTATGTTATGCTGATGTAACGGAATGAAATGACTGTTTTCCACCTAAAAGTCATTTCCCCCTCTCCTCAGCAAGAACTAATCTGCATGACATATTGCCTCAAGGTCTCATGCTTTTGCTCCAAACTGTTTTCTTTCCAGCCCAAGAGAAGAATGAAGACAAAGGACTCTTCCTTTTTAATAAATCAAAGAACTCTATTTTTAATAAGCTAATCAAACAAAGTGTTAGTCAATAATAAAATGTGAACCAATCTGTGAAATGAAAATGTTAATTACTTTATTATAATCCTATAGAGTATAATAAGTAATATAACTTTAAATGTTCCACTAGAGACTGATCACACATAGCATTAAGACAAGACACATTGCTTTCACTGGTCCTATCAGATTCTGCCAGATCTGACGGAGGCGTGGTTTTGGAGGTGCTTGGTAAATCTGTCATCTTTTCATTCGACCATAAACCAAAACATCCGAAGTATAAAACTATGCCCACGTCATCTTTAACGCCAGTTCGAAGCGTTCTAGAGAAGTTGATGGAGTGGTCAATCCGTAACTTTCCTCTTCAGCCGAAAGAACCAACGACAAGCTGGATAAAATCTGTTGCATTTTACCAACCAAGCAACGGTTCCTCTCAGAATAAAAGCTGAACTCATTGACCCTCCACGGGTCCATCTGACGCTGTCAACCAACTGTCGCTTTTTTACCTGGAGACAATCCAAAGACTAGTCTGTCGTACTCCTGACGCTGTTTCATCGGCTCCAGTACTGAAAGAGGGGTTCGAGAACCTGGCAGTCTGGATCTGTACGGAGGTCTCATTCTAAGGGTATGTGTGGAATAACAAAAATGGCGTCTTATGTGTTATTGAATCTCCGAATCAAAGCTTAGTGCGAAGACATCACCTTCACTCCCATCAGAACTAATCGTTTCTTCGGATTTGCTGGTTCTGAACAACATTCCACACGACACCATTCTCCATCTCACTTCACCTTAGTTACACCATACATTTAGGGTTTTAAGTTAGTCTAGTTTTAATTTGTTTGGTAATAAATCTTTAAACTTTTAAAACTTGACTCTCTCTTCTGTTGTCTCTCAGTCAATACGAAGTGGTTACATAATCCCTGCAATAAAAAGTTCCAATAGTCTGGTTAAAAGTACCTAAATATCCATAAGATTGATTCCATATTTCCTATGGAATCTCAGGTCTCATGGGTCATTAAATAACATGTAAATTAACCCTTTACACTGATCTGTTAGGAAACTCACTTCTGTGATTTCGGTGAAGGTCTGTCTGCCTGAGTTGTCATGGATGGTCTTAATGGCCACAGGGATCTTCACCGTCTCGCCCTCCGGAGTCCAAAAGCCCTTAAACACCAAATTTGTTAAGTAAATATGTGACAGAACACAACTAACCAATGGAAAAGAAAGGATCAATACCTTGTGCACTGTACCAAAAACACCAAAACCAAGGAGTTTGATCTTCTTCAGCTCTGAGGGCCTCAGAATGCGAGCATAAACCTTGGTGCCTTTCTCTCCAGGACCCAGAGGCTCAAAGCTCTGTCAAAACCACAACAGCTCTTAAATCAATGTTTCTCATCTCAATGAAAATGAAAAGGCATTACTCCAAAGTCTCACATCACCACTCTCCAGGTATCTTCTCATGGCTCTCTTTCGGCGGATGGCTAGGCCTCGATGGTACAGCACTCCCAGGAAAAACAGCACCAGACAGAAGATCAGGCCAGCTGGGACCCCTAGAGCAATACCTGTGATCTGACCGCTGCACAACAAGGAAAAGAAAAGTGTGTAAGTGGCAAAAATGTTAAAAGTTTTAGAAAAAACTCAACCAGAGGTTAGAAAAAAATGCATGCATTCTTATTCAAGGAGCTTGTTATGATGCTTTATTTTCACCAGCAGGGGGACATGCTCACCTGCTGACTGTTAGTCTTGCTGTCTCCAAACAGTCTTTTACTCTTGGGCCAAGGCATCTGAAACACATGAACTCATGGCAATCTTAAATGTATTTAAACTCAACACCTCAATAAAACACGTGAATGCAAACACATGGTGTTTGATTTTTACCCCTGTGTGCAGTTGTAGTGACATGGCTCACAGCGACCCTCCTTGTTGGGAAATTTGAATATCAGGCCTTTTTGTCCATCATTGACTCCACTGGGACATGAGGACATGCAGTAAGGACCATCTTGAAAGTTGGTGCAAGCCATGCATTCATCTGCCCCCTAAAGGAGAAAAAGATGAAGGAAACAAAGACAATGTGAGGCTTCGTAACGTATTTATTCAAAATGTCTTATTTTGCTTTTCCACTCATCTTTTCACCATTCATTACAATCCTACTAAGATAGTCACACTGTTTTAGTACTTTTAATGACTCAAATTAGCATTTCTGTAAAAAAAAAAAAGCACCTGTAGTTCTGATTTTAAAAAGAAAATGCAGTTTTATCAAGCTTCTCTAGATCTTTACTTCAAGATGAACTATTTAAAGAGATTTCAAATAGAGAAAAGGGGAAAAACTGAAGGAATCTTTAGAACAACATGTGCAGAGTAATGCGACAAGCAGAAAATACCCAAATTACAGGAGAGAGTTTATCTGAAAGGACCAGAGTGTGACATTTCTGTATTACTACCGGTCCTGTGCAGCTGACTTTCCCTCCCTGAAGTTTACATTCTGGATGACAAGCCACACATTCTCCATCAGACCTTGCAAACTCCCTTGGAGCGCTGAGGACACAGAAATCAGAGGAAATTGAACCAAATAAAAGAAAAACACAAAGAACATCAGCTTAAACAGAAAATCTAATTCTGAATACTGACCCAGACAAAAATTTGCAGCTGCCCACACATGAGCCATCTCGGCTGTAGTTCCTGCAGGACAGGCACTGGTCAGGCCCTGGCCCCCAGCAACCTGAATCTGAGCAAAGCGGGTCACACACGTGTCCTTCTGCAACTACACACATGAGAGAGCATCAGGCACCTGCTGCAGTAAAGCGCTGTATTTATTATTTCACTCAAGACTCCACGAGTCTCGAGTCGTCTCTAGAAGAATTCAATGCCTTGCAAGCTGCACTGGGGGCAAAAAAAGCCCAGAACCCCCTGCATCACCACGGAAAAGCCCGCTACATCAGATGACAGCTTAACACGGTGCGATTTAGTAATATCTTACTTATATTTGAACATCTCCCCTCGCATTGGCTAACAGCAACACAACTCTACTATTGACTCTGTCAGCTCAGCGACATGGATGCTTTTTCTCTACAAATAACAAGCCTGGAGGAGCTTCTGCTGTGTGGTTGAGTTGCTAATGCTAACGGTTAGTTTCTGCTGACCGAGACGTGCTCTGCTGATTCTGGACGCTAAAATAACAGCTTTCCCCGTTGCGAGCCAGTATGATTGAGTCCAAGCGAACGCTTGATGTAGATCTGTCAGGCTTTTCAAATCCTAGGGTTTCACCATCTGTTTTCTATATGAAGCTAATGCAGGAGATAGGTGTAGGAGACTATTTTCATGTCCAGCCTGCATGAAAAACTCAGACTGACTGATTATAACCAGAAATAATCATTAAAAAATTGTTTTTCGGTGAACCACGTCTAAAAATACAGCATGAAATGTTTCACTTCAACAATGGGTCGACTCACCACACTCTGCAAGTGGCTTGTTGTTGTTGAGGTTGTTCACTCGAACTCTGCGACCTCTGAACAGCTGCGTCCAGTTTACAGTGTGGTGGTAACAGAGGTTGTCATTCTGACTGATGTAAACGCTGCCGTCGTTGATTTCCCGGAGAGATCGCAGGCCAAGTGAGGTAAGAGAGGGGATGTGCATCACCATCAGAGAGAATCGCCTTTTTGTTTGTGAGCGAGAGGATAGAGACAGAGAGCAGTTAGCAGGAATGTGTATCAGATGACAACAAAAAAAACTAGTTTCTTAAATTTAGTAACACTGGTTTTCATATCAAAATGCATAAATGTGTTTTAATCATGTCACTGGGTTAGTTGACTGTTTCCTGCATGCAGACAGCCTTACTTGTAGAGAGACCTCCCTTGAATGGTTGTCAGGCTTGAAAAAACCGACAGGTCATTTAGCTCTTCAGGCCACGACTGGATGTTTAGAATATCTGAACATGAAACGAGAAAGTTGTCATGAAAAATGCAGCACTAAACATGACGCTCTATGGTGGAATAGCAAAACAAGACTTGTTCACAACCTTCCTTGAAGAGTCTTCTTTCTGTTAGCCTTAATAGTCGTATTTTGGAGGATTTTAGGTTAAAAAAGGACATCAGAGAGAGCTGAGCCAGAGGGCGAAGCTCTCGATTTACCGGTCGATCTACGTTCCTACCCTCACCTATGGCCATGAGCTTTGGGTAATGGCCGAAAGAACGAGATCGCGGATACAAGCGGCCGAAATGAGTTTTTTCCGAAAAGAGTGGCTGGGCTCTCCCTTAGAGATAGGGTGAGAAGCTCGGTCATTTGGGAGGGGCTCGGAGTAGACCCGCTGCTCCTCCACATTGAGAGGAGCCAGTTGAGGTGGCTTGGGCATCTGGTCAGGATGCCTCCTGGACGCCTCCCTGGTGAAGTTTTCCGGGCACGTCCAACCGGGAGGAGACCTAAAGGTAGACCCAGGACATGGTGGAGGGACTATGTCTCTCACTTGGCCAGGGAACGCCTTGGGATTCCCCCGGAGGAGCTGGCCCAAGTGGCTGGGGAGAGGGAAGTCTGGGCCTCTCGACTTAGGCTACTGCCCCCGCGACCCGACTCCGGATAAGCGTATATATATATATATATATATATATATATATATATATATATATATAAACTTTACCTACTTATGAGTAAGAGAAGTTAGGTGAAGTGTAGAGTAAATTAAAAAATTCACAATTTGTTTGTAACTAGAAGTCACAAAATGCAAGAAAAGACACTGCAGACATGTTGAAAGGTGCATGTTTCCGTTCAGGTTCTTGCTTATAAAGTGATTTAGTGCATTTGTATTCAGGGTGGTGATTGCTTGGGGAATTTACATATATGATAAATTTAATACATAATACCATACCAGTACAAACCTGTTATTTCCCTCACAGTCTTGAACACCTCTAACTTTTTGGCATCAAGTGATGAGATGTTATTATAGTCATCTCTGTGAAGAACAGAAACAAAACATAAACACAAACTGGTTCGACACAAAGCTTTGTGATCCTCTAAACCAGTACCCAAGAATCCCTGTGACCAGGAAGTGAAGGCTGCCCTGGATCTTTGTGCAGTTGATGAAGCTGTCGATGTTGCTGGAGTCCACAGTCTGTCTGTGTTCTGCACCAGTGCCTTCACACACTGGAGAGGAGATTTCAACCTATTAAAATCTGTATTCACAGACAGATACTCCGTAATTTAAGAATAATGTTTCAAACCTTTAGGACAGAATCCACTGCAGAGCTCACACTGCCTCTGTCCTTCTTTCTCTACCTCCATCTTGTCCAGAGGACAAGCACTCACGCAGGAACTGCCGTCCACCACAAAATGAGCTATAGGGACAAAAAAAGAAGCTTCAAGTCACATATACTCACTTGTGTTTGAGAATAAACAAATGCAGGAATTGCTAGTTGTAGAAATACACACAAGCTACTCACTGGGGCACTGAGAAACACAGATTGATCCATACTGGTACTTTGCATTGGGGTTGGTCTCCATTTGAAATGTCTGTTTGTTGTACATGAGTGTTTTGGGGCACTGGGGCACACATGCTCCTGAGTCATTGAAGTGACGGCATGCCTTTGTAGATGCAGACAGACACATAGACATGCATTCCTTACACGTGAGTACACAAGAGTTTCTATTTGAGTTCAGCTATTGCAGGAGAAATCTTCAATCTGCTGTCATTAGGTGCACAAATGCAATAGATTAACTAAAAAAATAACATTTGATTGGTCATTTCTGCCACCAAATTATTCTTGCATGCATATTAACATGTTTCCTTGAATATTAAATTTTCCTGGAAGCTAAACAAACGACAGCCTTCCTCATCTTGAGTCAAGATTGGGGTGTCCATGAACGCTAATTCACAGTGTGACGTAGATCTGTGAGGATTTTCAAAACCTAGAGTTTCATCGTCTGTTTTCTATCAGAAGCTAATGCAGGAGATAGAGACTATTTTCATGTTCAGCCTGCATAAAAAACTCAGAGTGACCTATTATAGTCACCACACAGGTGAGTCAACCACACCTTTAATGTATGATGTACTTGCAGTTTCTGTTATTGATTTTGTCACTATATTGTTAAAATGACAGGGAGACTATGTGGTTTCGGCTTGCTTTCAGCACCCCCAAGTGTCCATCAGTCAACGCAACACCTTAATCTAACTGCTGAAATGTCTCCTCAGCCTTCATGAGTGTCTATAGGAGCGGTTCATCTCTAAATCAATCCTAACCCTGTTAATCATGCAGCAAACATGCTGGAAGCACAGTCCAGAACCAGGCATGTAAGCTCCATTTACTAGATATGTAAGTCATCTAAGGGACCAGACAAACACTCTGAAGTTACAAGTGCAACATTCTGGCCATAGAGGGCAGTGGAGGTCTGTGACATTTCAATAACCTGCTAAAAGGTCATTTTAGCACATTCTGGCTCAAAGAAATGATTTAAAAATCTGAAAAAGTTGCAAAGTGTGGCTTTAAATGGATAGAGTCAGTAAATTACAGGGCATAATAGCATCATCATTATTTTGGTTGATAAATCATAACATAACTCTTACAAAACAGTCCACATCCAGAGGGCCTTTGCATCCTGCTGCACACTCAATGTGACAGCAGTCCCTGGGGCTCGTCCCAAAGCAGCGTCCATTACACTGCGGAGCGCACACCATCTTAGTCACTGAGAAAAAAACATATAAATGAATTTTTTCCATTGTGTTTGCTTGACTAATGCTTTTGCAAAGAGGTGTCCTTAAAGAGAGATGTTCCTTTAAATGAATGGAGAGAAAAAGTGGGGTTGGACACTCACAGATCTGACAATTGTCCTTGTTTGGACCCCAGCAATAATCTCCACAAGATTTATGACACGGGCCTGGGAGAGAAAGGGGAAGATGACGGTAAGACCAGTCATGGAAGACAGTTTGAAGACCAGTGATAGAAGTTCATGATAGAGACCTCTCTTCCCGTTGTGCTGGATGTCAATAGGAGCACTGTTGTCTCGTACAATGTCTTGCCAGAAGATCCATGGACCGTAACTCAGGTACAGGTTATTAATAATCTGTACTCCCCCCTCCAGAATCTCTGTGAAGAAACAGAAGATCTCTGAGCTGACTCCTCGGCCCCAATATTGATATAAATCTGCCTTCTAAGCAGCTTTGAGTTTAAAAACACATGAAAATGTCACATTTTTAAGTTTGTGTGAGGATGCAGAGTATGAAAGTTAGTTTTTTTCTCAGACTGTCTCCATCTGTAAACATTGTGCCCCATTAACCTGTCAGATTGGAGAGTCCCAGCTGTCGCAGGCCATTGGAGCCATCTTTGGGGTAGTTGAAGAAAACTGAGAGTGCAAAGCGTCTCTCGTATAGGCTGTTTCCTCTGATGACCCGTAGTTGCCCCAGGGGAATCTCCCGAAAGTGATTCATTGCAATGAGGACGTAGCCTGTCACCTCCCTGATTGTCTGATGGGGGAGAAGGTTGTCAGATTCATTGGTTTCTACAGGAGTGGTTCATCACTAAATTAAATAAATCAGCTGCTTTCATGATCTAAAAACATGCAGGAAACGTGCTGGAAACTGACTGCAGCGCCAGGTATGTCAGCTCCATTTACAACAGTTGGCAGTCCACCAGCCTGAAGTTGCAAATGCGGTATTCTGGCCACAGGAAGCAGTGGAGCTCTGAGTAACATTTCATTAACTTTGTAAAGAGTCATTTTAGCATGTACTTGCTCAAGAAAATGTTTGAAAAATGTGAAAAAGTTGCTAAGTTTAAAGGCTCTTGTTGCGTCTACCAATAGGGGGCAGTAAAGGAGAGGAGAACGTAGGTAGGAGAGATGAAGAAGTGTAGGGAGTTAAGGTAGATGCCTGTTTCTGCTACATGTGAAGCAGGTTTGAATAAACTTGGAAAATTAATTCTGGTTTGGACCAGTTCCAACCAAGCTGCAGCCAGCCACGGACCAAAACCAAGCAAACCCAAAGACAGTGGGGTTATGTTCACCTTGAGAAAAGAGAAGTCCCAATTACTCTCAATTTGAGTTATCTCCAGGTTTCCCATGATGATCTCACAGCCATCATACCGATCCCTGATCAGGTTGTACTGATTCTCCTGGGAGCCGGTTGAGCTTAGACCATTCTGAGTACCTGAACACACTTAATTCAGAATTAAAGCAAAGACATTACAAGAAGATCTCAGAGAGCATTCACTGTTACACATTTAACATGAAATCAGACCTGTGTGAGCTGCAGCTTTGTCTGATGAATGTAAATCAACCGATGTGTTTAATCAATAATGAAAATGTAACATTTATAAAATCCTCTGACGCTGCCTGAATAACAAGGATGAGTTCTGAGGGTTGTTTTGTTTCTGAGAGGTTGCTGCATCGCTCTGACGTTGTTTATTCTGCATAGTTTGATTCGAAGCAAACAGTCAGCCATGCAAGCCCGGGTGCACAGAGCAGTCCAGGCCTGAGGGCAACAGGGAGAAGGCCAAGGGTCGAGGGAGAAGAGCTTCCTTCAAACAGAGTGCCTCATTGTGATGAGGACATAAATGTGGACGTGTATCGCAGCGAGGGCAGAGTGATGCAGCGACAGACAGGGCTTCTGTGTGGGTATATGTCTGTAAGGAAAGTGCTGCTGAGATCATATTAAGAGACAATGGGTTGTGTGTGAGCACAGCGTTCTGGTAGAGGAACGGAAATATCGTGAAAGGAAATATACACATGCAGCATCTCCTAATGAGAAGCAGAAAAAAAGGCGACGTTGGATGTTTATGTGCAAAGATTGAGCACCTGCTGCAGTGAACATGAGTCACTCTTCCTGTTTTTGAGTTTGCAGGTAGAAACTTCAAGCTGCACACTGATGAGATAAACATCTTTGGAGACTTGCTGCATTATGTTTGTTCAATTATTAGGAAGATGCATAATTTGAACTGAACTTTCATGGATAAAGATGAAACTCAAAAAATTAGGATTATGTGCAAAAGTCCATTTATTTCAGGTTTTCAATTTAGACCGAGAAACTATTTAAAGGCTCAGGAGCTTTTTGCAGGTCTTTGGGATTAATTAGCTGATTAGAGTGTGGAATAAACAAAACACACTTGCATGACTGTAACACTAAAGTGCCTTAAAGTGCAAAAACACTGGTAAAAAAATATCCTTTTAACACAGCAGATGCACAATTTATCCATCTGGGTGGTGTTTAATGACTTAATATCCTTCAGAATTTAAATGCTGACAGAGTGCAAGAATATCAATAAATCTTAATAGACAAAATAATGAAATTTTTGACTTTTTCAGGGGTTAAACCACTCACAAATATCGTAAATCTATGTATTTTCACCTTCAGGCAATGAAGTTACTGTTTATAGTAAACTAGAGGATTTTCTGTTTCACTTGCAGTTAATCAGATAGCATTGCAGGATCACATTTTTGCAATAAAAAAGCTTTTAAGGAACAAAGCATGGAAGTGTTCTGAGAGTGAGCGTTATCGGTTTACACTCCTGAAAATTTAAACAGTCTCTTCCACAACATCTTTATCCCATGTAAAGAATAACAGATGGGAATGCTGAGGACAAAATGCTGATGGCTGAAGTTCAGCTTTTGGATCCGCATGAACAACTGAAATGATTTTTAATTCAAAACAACTATAAATCTGCTTACCTTCGTGTGTTTGGGACCATGCTGGCTGGATCCTGACTGACAAAAACACACACGTTAGTAGGATTTGCAGCTGGTCCATGTTGATGTTCAACAAGTTTAGTGAGATCTCAGCATCTCAGATGAGTAGAGACGGTCCTAGGAACAGAATTTAAGGTTGGAAAAAGGTATGTTTGTAAATTCACCAAAAATAAAAGTCTCATATCATGAAGTCAAAGTAAACAGATGTTGCACCGATCAAATCCATCAAAAAAGAGAAAACTTTGAAGAGGATGCATCTTATTGTGATCCTGGGATTTCCCTCTCAGAGAGAGGCATCTGATTGGCCAACAGCCAGGATGATTCACCAATCAGAGGTCGGTCCGTGGTTTCATCCCGTCATCAAGCTGCAGCCTTAATCTTTGTACTCTGGAGGACTAAAATCCATCATCTCTGACGAGTAACTAATTAGAAAGATTGTTATTGATAAAATGCACAAAATGTCACAAATGACTAAAAAGTGACACATGAAAAGAAAAAAATCACATCATCGAGCAGAGCTGGTGATCAGCATGAACGCCTTTCCTGCTATATGGCTCTTTATGTGTAGTTATTTCAGTTCAGTTCTGTCAGCTGCTGCATGTGGACTTAGTGTTGTGGTCTGGTTCTGAGTGGTGGCACTGTTCTCCCAGTGAAGAGCACTATTGTCCCCATGGCAGCGTCAACTGGTTAATCACCTCTTTGATGCGTACGGAGCGGCCGGTCACACAATGGTCACTTTGTTGGACAAGCAAGTGACTTCTGAACCCAAACAAGAACATGCTTAATTTTTTTTTTGAAAATGGCAGAAATTCCTGGACATGGAGTTGTGAGTGAGGATGGGGGGGAGGCTAATAGCTACCAATAGATGGATATCAGGATTTCTGGCAGATGTGCTGGTAATCTTGTTTTTCAACCAGAGGAAAAAAGATAACTGAAACAATTCCCAGTTTGTGTCAAATTTCCCATGAGGATATTTTAGGTGATCATAAATTTGATGGATCTTTTTATCTGAAACCTTTTTGAAGGACTTTAAAGCATAAATAAGTCCATTTAAGTGGTTTAGGTGTGCAGGTTGGCCTCCCCTCTGTTTGCAGTTTTCTGTCCAGCAGGAGGAGACAGACTCTGAGGATTGGACATCTGCAGCAAAACCTCTCTGTTGAAGATTTTGCATAAACATGGTGATTTTAGCATTTTTATTGGGGGTTGGGCTTCAGTCTGTAACATCTTTAAAAAAAGCCTTGTTGTCAAATTTGTAGATTATAACTCAAACTGCTCAAATCAGACATCCTGTAGCAAAACATGCATTCAATATGTATTTTGGTTTCTTATGAGCGACTTTTATTTTGTTACAGGTTTTGGTAAAATTGCAATAACTGCACATGATTTTATTCATTTTTTGTCCATGTCAGTGCTGGTGGCCAGTTCCTGTCCAAGAAGCAAACTGTGAGAAGTGCCTGCTGTGGTTTTTTGCAGTTGCCACTCCCTTCAGAGATTGATGAATTGATTGTGTGGCTGCTGCCAGTGTGTCTGTGCCCTGGGTGAAGGTGTCCTGGTTACGGGTGGGAATCCCAGCTATGGCATCCACCCTGGGGCTGCTATTGTAGCCGTCCTGCAGGGGGCCCTGGGGGGCTGGTGGCTCTGGGAGCAGCTCCGACTCACATACTGCTGTCACACCCTTGGAGACGCAGCAGCACTCCCCCAACACACACACACAAGATCTTCTGATCGGCCTAGACGAAATGATTCTCTCTGGAGAGCAGTGAGTCCACGAGCACTGATTGTGCCAAACGTCTCCTGTTAGTCAGCAACTCAGAAAGGAGACACAAAGATGATTTAGAGCTATGCTCTTCCCACCTGTTTGAGACACACACCACTGTTTGAGTCCTAATTGGTTACTTACTCTCTAAATTAAAATAAAGCATGAGATCAGAACATATTAAAGTTTTAATCTCACTTTAATAGAAATGTTAATCCCATTGTGTGAACTGGCACACTCAAGTTTAACATTTATTATCTGAGGACGGCCCTTACAATGAATCTGTGTTCAGTAAAATCAACACACACACACACAAACACAAATATATATATATATATATATATATATATATATATATATATATATATATATAAACAAAAATAATGGATTATATTTTGATTGGGATTATGTCATATTTGAATTATGAACATAATACACACAGATTAGATATAAAAAGTCAAGGATTAATCAATAACATTTTGATGTACTTTCTACAATTTAAAAACCTACCCTGTAACTCAAGTCAAGGTTTAAAGGAGTAGTTCTGTCGTTTATGCAATACATTAGCAGTGGTCTCTTGTAGGAATGGATGCCTTTAAAGTCATTCTCAGGGTGGAGAAAATCTACTGGTGAACCATTTCTCCCACCTAAAAGTTGCCTACATCACAGATGAGCTTCAGATGGCAGGTTTTGGCTCAGACATGAATACGTAGATGCCCACTGGGTGCTGGAGAGCATAACAGCATTGCCACCATATTGGGTGGCTTCCTCACTTTCCACTGCAGTCAATAAAGGGGGAGCAACAAATATTGCCTGTTTTTTATTTTTATTTTTTGTGCAGCCTACGGTTGCAACACCCCATGCACTGTTGAAAACAAATCATGTGGGATTAATATTGACTTTTTTAGCCCATCTGCTACTATTTTATATTTATTTTATTTCATTTTATTTACATTTTAACTACTGTGCCATACCATATGTCTGACTTTCTGAAAAAACATACTAACATTTATTTTTAGTTGGGTAAACACCTTCCTCAGTGAAAATTACTGCACTTGGGGCAAAATGGAGACCCATTCAAGATGGCGGCCTGCCACTACGGCAGCTCCTCATAGCGCTTGGGATCATGCGTTCTGAGATGTGCACAGACATGTTGATGGCCTTCCGAGTGTAAACCATGAAAACAAACAGTACGTTGCAGAGAAGACGTTGATTTGGGTGAAAGGAAGTGCATCCCAAATGGATGCAGAATATATAGGGATACGTAAAATAGTGACGTTGGGGACGGCACATGGACCAAATCAATGTTATAAATGGTTTGAATCCAAGTGAAAGACCCAAGAGTGGAGCAGCAACGTGTTGCTGCTGCAGTTCTGCATATTGGACATTGTCAGCTTTCTTGTTTGTGGTGTGAGTAGATTTAAACGTAAGCCGCCAACGTCGGTGATGACGAGCTCGATGATGATCACGAGCCCTATGGGCAGTGTCACGATGGTCGACTGGGTACGGAAGTTGAGCTTGGTAAGGATGTTAGAAGGCTGGATTATTTGGTAGAGAACTCTGTTCATGGATTTCAAAAAAACGATGACTGAGTGAAGAGCCGGTGCGGCGTCTTCCATATATAGACCTGGGAGTGACGGGGAGAATGCCGGGAGTTCCCGCGAGGAGCATGCTGGGAAATGTGGTCCAAGATGGAGGCCGGTTAGCTGGGACAGACTGGTCCAGGGGCTTGGGCTCTGACAGGACCCCCGGTCCAGGGACGGCTCCAGAAGTCCCAGGGCGACCTCGGCGGTTCCAGAAGTCAGAGACGAGGGTAGGGTCCAAGATGGAGCGGACCAGCTCCCAGGAGCGTTCCTCGGGGCCATAGCCCGCCCAATCGACGAGATACTGCCAGCCCCGAGCCCTGCAGCGAGCGTCCAGGATGCGCCGGACGGTGTAGATGGGCTCACCGTTGAGGAAGCGGGCAGGCGGAGGCGCCGGAGGCGGCAGGAGGGAGGATTCCACGTAGGGCTTGAGCCGGGAGGTATGGAAGGTGGGATGGATGCGGAGACTCGCAGGCAACCGCAGCCGGTACCTGACCGGGTTGATGACCCTTTGCACGGGGTAAGGCCCGAGGAACCGGGGCGCGAGCTTCCTGGACCCGGCACGGACACTGAGGTCTGCCGTGGACACCCAGACCTTATCCCCTGGAGCATAGGAGGGACCAGGACGGTGTCAGTAGAGATGTTGGTGAGAGTAACGGGTGTTAGCTCGGGTTATGGAGGCCCGCGCCTTGATCCAGGTGTTCCTGCAGCGCCTCACCAGGGATTGAGCGGCCGGCACCGTAACTTCGGGTTCCTGGTGGGCAAAGACTGGAGGGTGGTAGCCATAACAGACTTCGAACGGGGACATCAGAGTGGCCGAGGAGGTGTGGAGATTGTGGGATAACTCAGCCCAGAGAAGGTACTTAGGCCACTGCAAGCGTTGGGCCGAGACAAAGCAGCGGAGGTACCGACCCAGTTGTTGGTTTGCCCGCTCCGTTTGGCTGTTGGTCTGCGGGTGATAGCCCGAAGATAGGCTGACTGATGCTCCCAATAGATGACAAAAGGCCCTCCAGAACCGGGCTGTGAACTGGGGACCACGGTCCGAGACCACGTCATCCATGGAGATGCACCACATTCTCCAGAAACAACTCAGCTGTGCGTCGGGCCGAGGGGAGGCCCGGAAGGGCGATGAAATGAACAGCTTTAGAAAACCGGTCAGTGACCGTCAGGATGGTATTAAGGTTGTTGACCGGTGGGAGTCCTGTGACGAAGTCAAACCCCACATGGGACTGGGGCGGCTGGGTACCGGAGGAGGTCTGAGGGTACCAACCGAGGCCTGGTTGGATGTCTTGGAGCGGGCGCAGATGTCACAGGCGCTCGTATAGTCCTTCACATCCATCTCCATACATGGCCACCAGAGAGCTCGTTTGAGGAACCTAAGAGTTCGTGAGAAGCCCGCGTGGCCAGACAGGCGTGATGAGTGGGCCCAGGACAATGCCTCGCTGCGACAGGCCGTAGGGACGTAGAGCCGACCCGCGGGGGTCTCTGGAGGCGCGGGATCGTCCCGGAGGGCGTTTTGGATAGCCTCCTCCAGTGGCCACCTCAGGTGGGCCAAGAAACGGTGCTCTGGGAGGATAGGTGCCGGCTCGGACGTGGGCGCTGGATGTGTGAACTGGCGGGAGAGGGCGTCCGCCTTCTGGTTCTTTGTCCCTGGGCGGTAGGCGAGATGGAATTCATAGGGCTCGAAGAAGAGGGCCCAGCGGGCCTGGCGAGGATTGAGCTGCTTGGCTGATCTGATGTGAATCAGGTTCTGGTGGTCCGTCCAGATGGTGAACGGCTGAGTGGTTCCCAGAAGCCACTGCCTCCATTCCTCCAACGCCCATTTTATGGCCAGCAGCTCGCGATCCCCTATGCCGTACTTCTGCTGGGTGGCGGAAAACTTCCTGGAGAAGTAGGCTCAGGGATGAAGCCTGTCGTCGGGCCCGCCTTGGGACAAGATGGCACCGGCGCCGACATCCGAGGCGTCGACCTCGACCACAAAGGGAACTGCATGATCCAGATGGCGGAGGATAGGAGCCGACGTGAAACCGGCGACTGGGTATTGGAAGGCCCGGACGGCGTCTGGAGTTAGCCGGAACGGTTGGCCGGGAGGGCTTGGTTGGGTGAGAGAAGTGAGAGGTGTCACAATGGTGCTAAAGTCCTTACTAAAATGCCGGTAAAAGTTGCAGAAACCCAGAAAACTTTTTCAGGCTTGTTGGGAGGGGTCAATCTCTCACCACCTGGACTTTCTGAGGGTCCATGGTTAGTCCTTGATCCGAAATCATGTAGCCCAGGAATGATACGGACCGCTGTTGGAAAGAGAACTTCTCGGGCTTACAGAACAGGTTATTGTCCAGGAGCCGGGTTAGAACAGCGCGAACATGGTGGAGGTGTTCGGCCTCGGACTTGGAGTAGATCAGGATGTCATCCAGGTAGGCAAAGACCCACCGTCCCAACATGTCGCGGAGGACATCGTTTATGAGGCGTTGAAAAACGGCGGGGCTATTGCACAGCCCAAAGGGCATGACCTGGTTCTCCCAATGACCGGTGGGTGTGATGAACGCGATCTTCCACTCATCTCCAGCTTTAATACGGACCAGATTGTAGGCGCTCCGAAGGTCCAGTTTGGTGAAGATCTGAGCCTGGGAGATGGCGTCAAGAGCAGACATAAGGAGCGGCAGAGGATGGCCGTCTTTGACTGTGATTTTGCTCAGACCTCTTCACAAAGAAGAAGCATGCAGCACCCGGGGAGGAGGAGGGTCGGATGAAACCCTGCTGGAGGGCCTGGTCAATATATTCCTCCATGGCTCTGGACTCGGAGGGAGAGAGAGAAAAAGGCGCCCCCGGGGTGGACTGGTTCCTGGTTGCAGCTTGATCTCCATGTCGTACGGGAGGTGAGGCGGTAGCGTGGTGGCGCGCCGCTTGTCGAACACCGCAGCCAGGTCCCGATAGGGCAGTGGCAGATTGGGCGGTGTTGGGCCGGGGTCACCGTCCGGGCGGTCTGGCATGGATGGAGGAGGAGAGAGGTGGGCCTGGCACTGGGTCCCCCATTCCAAAAGGCAGCCCCGGGACCAGGAAATCCGGGGGTCATGGAGACGGAGCCAGGGAAATCCCAGGATTAGAGGAGAGGAGGGAGCACATATGATCAGGAAATGGAGGGTCTCTCGGTGGCCTTGGACGATCATCTGGAGTGGCTGGGTTCGGTTTTGGACAGGATAGGGCTGGAGGGGCCTACCGTCCACCGAGGTCACTGGCACAACTCTTTCCAAGGGGGTCATGGGGATCCGTAGGCGCTTAGCCAGATCCATGTCCATAAAATTGACAGCGGCCCCCGAGTCCACCAGCGCGTGCATCTGAAGTGAGGTCTCACCATGAAGGAGGGTGACATGAAGAAGGAGTCGATATGAAGAGGCAGGGGCGGAAGGTGACCCAGGCTGAGCGACCCTGATACTCAGTGGGTTCCTTCGTTTCAAAAACGTAATGGGCAGTTCAGGCGTCTGTGGTCAGAGGAGCCACAATAGGCACAGAGACCCTCATGCCACCGTCGCTGTCTCTCCTCTGGAGGAAGGTGGCCTAATTGCATGGGCTCATCAATAGAAGCGGGTCCGGGAGCAGGCGTGGGGGACTGAGGAAGAGGTCCAGGCACCCTGGATAGTGTGCGGTGTGCTGAAAGGATTATTGGAGGTGAGCTTCCCTCCCTCCAGGACATCTATAAGAAGCGGTGCCTGAGGAAAGCGGGGAGGATCATCAAGGACTCAAGTCACCCCAGCCATAAACTGTTCAGACTACTTCCATCAGGAAGGAGGTTCTGCAGCATCCGGTCCAGAACCAGCAGACTGACAGACAGCTTTTTCCTTCAGGCCATCAGACTGCTGAACACGGCGCATACACCTCACCCTCACTACTGAAACTCCAACATTACACACTCCATACTGTACATTAATGCCACTGTTTTGCACATACCAACCTCTGTACATTTTATAATTCTTATCTTATTGTTTACGTAATTCATTTGTATACTTAGATTAGCCATTTTTAAATTTTACTTGTTTTTACATTACTGTATTTTTGCACAACTCTGTTGCTGTGAAGCTCGCACACAAGAATTTCACTCGCATGTACTGTACCAGTGTACCTGCACATGTGACGTGACAATAAAAGTGATTTGATTTGATTTGGATGGGCGAGTGAAGGACTTGGGCCGAACCAGAACCCGCTGATCGATGCGCAGCGCCAGATCGACCACTTCATCCAGGGTCTGGGGCAGTTCCTTTCCCGCCATCTCGTCACGGATGTAGGTCGCCAGTCCCTCCAAGAAGACGGCTCGAAGGGCAGAGTCATCCCACCGCAGCTTGGCGGAGATGGTGCGGAACTCCACACCGAGCGCTCCCGCTGGCGGAGCTTTAGGAGTTGTGCTTCTGCTCCCACTTCGCTGCTGGGTGGAACAAAAGTCTTTCTGAGGGCGGACACAAAAGCAGCATAGTCATTGCAAGCAGGTGACTTGGAATTATAAAGCGCAGCGGCCCACTCAGCCGCGCGTCCGGAGAGCAGGGAGGTGAGATGCGCCACCCGAGAGCGAGCAGAGGGGAAGCGTCCTGGTTGGCACTCGAACTGCATGTCGAGGGTGGCGAGCAGACCGTCTGGGCTCCCCGTCTCTCCATTCCACCTCTCCGGGAGACTGAAGTGCGGCCCCTCTGTTGGTGGAGTGAGGGCTTGCTGCTGGAGAGCATGGAGGGCTGTGGATAATGGCAGGAGGAAATCGGTCTGGGAGTTTTGTTTGGTGTTGAGCCGATCGCTCAGGGTGTGGAGCTGAATGAATTCATTCTCCATTTGCTCCATCCTTATTTTCAGTCGCTCGAACTCTGCTGGATCTACGGACTCAGTCATCCTATCACGATGGTCGACTGGGTACGGGAGTTGAGCTTGGTAAGGATGTTAGAAGGCTGGATTATTCGGTAGAGAACTCTGATCATGGATTTCAAAGAAACGATGACTGAGTGAAGAGCCAGTGCGGCATCTTCCATATATAGACTAGGGAGTGACGGGGAGAATGCTGGGAGTTCCCGCGAGGAGCATGCTGGGAAATGTGGTCCAAGATGGAGGCCGGTTAGCTGGGAGAGACCGGTCCGGGGGCTTGGGCTCTGACAGGCAGCACCAGCTCCACGGAGCATCTACGTATATGATGGCTGTGGGTTTTTGAGATCTTACCTTGTTTTGGATGACCCTACCACTGACTTACAATGTGATGTTTTATCTACACAAATAGCACAAGTCTGGAGGAGTTTGTGCTGTGTGGTGAAGTTACTAATGCTAATGGTTAGTCTAAACTAGCTGAGAGGTCTGCTGCTGATTCCCGGACATTAAACCAACAACATCCTTCCCTGTCATGAGTCAAGATGGGTGAGTCCTTGAATGCTAATTCCAGTGTGAATTAGCATTAGCGTGAGCAATCTGTGAGGATTTTCAAATCCTAGGTTTTCCCCATCTTTGTTCTATCAGAAGCCAATGCAAGAGATAGCTGTAAGATACTATTTTCATGTTCAGCCAGCATGACAAACTCAAGAGTGACCAATTATAATCAGAAAAACATTAAAAATATATTTTTTTCAGTCAACTTCAACTTTAAAAGAAAGCACAAATAAAGGAAATAAGTTTTGTTTTTGGTCTTTTATTGATCACTGAAAAGCCAGATATTATCATACCATTCAACACTCCTTCATGTTGTCGTTTTTTTCATTTCCTACAATCCATATGATTCACTGGTTTTAAATATTCTTCTATCACCTGGAAACACGTCATAGGGAATGCTGAGCCTCGTTTGACTCACGTTAAAAGTCTGCAATGAAAAATCTCTGATGTTTAGCCACAACGTCGTCACAGACTGTATAAGTGAATGACTTGAATGTTGGACATTCCTACATAGAAACCTGTTATCAATCAGAAAAATAACCACAGACAAATTAAGGCCACAAAAATAATAATCTTCACACCAAACTGAACATGATAGATAACACGACACACTCTCACGCACAAGCTGTTGTCAGTCATCTGCCAACACACTGACCCCACTATCTACAGGTGTAATGACAGCACTGTCCGTTTCACCATCCTGTTACATAATAAACCTACACTTATATACAGGTGCTGACATAGAAAAGCATGCTTATTTGCATATTAGAAGGTTGTTCGGTAAACTTTACACAAAATCCATGACATTTATTAGTTACAGCATTGATCCAACCAGCAGCAGAAATTCTGACTAACAAATATAGTCTGAGGGAAAGAGGCTGTTACGGTATAACTCACTTTAATTACACATCTTGTACAGTATCAACATGCCTTGTTATGATTGCCCTCGTCCTGTTTTCCAATTGTGAGTGAAAACTCCAAATCTAGTTAGCGGGTGAGGCTAAAACGACACTAAAGTCAACAAAAATGAAGAAACACTGCATGAAGACAGTACATTTTGTGGAACAATACCGCGAAACGTGACACAAACAGCTTTTGGTTTAAGAAAAAATAAGAAGCAGCGCATGTGTAATGTCAGTTAGAAAAACCCAGAGGAGAAGCAATGCGAGATTGTTTGACAAAACACACAGCAGCAAAAAAAGCAAAAAAAAAACAAACAATTAAAACAAATAAACATTCATAAACCAGGTAAGCTCTGATATCGCCAATCGCATGCTGTGCTGCAGAACTCTCCGCAGAGCGGGCCGGATAGCAGCATTTTGTCTAAGCCACTGAAGCTGGTACGGAGTGCCTGTTCTGTCATTTGCATCACTTCAGATTTCACACCTCGCCGAGGCTAGCGAATCATTAATCCTCACTGAGCGGGCTGAAACGACTGAGAACAAATCTTTATTTACATCGGCCTGCAGCAGTCTGCAGCTTCACAAGCCCTCAGGCCAGAACTGGAATCACCTGCATGCAGATTTGGATGTGGTATAATGTACAGTTATGTTAGGGCTCTTCATTTTTCTTTTTTTTTCTTTAAATCAACTGCTTTGACAAAATAAAATACTCTTTACAATAAAGGGAAATAAATAATAATATTCACTTAAATCAGAAATTAATCAATAAAATAAATCATACTGACAACGACTGTCCCTTATACTCATTTTTTGTCTTTTAAAAATAAATAAATGAAAATGTCTTTAAATGAAACCAAATAGAAGAGTGTATATCCGTGGCAGTAAAATCCTTTTTTTGGACAGTAAAATATGACATTACATTTCTCTAAGTCTTTAGGCGCATACTGCATTTAAACTTTTCATATAGTGTTCTAACATATTAATACAGTTCCTCCTATAAATTTACGACATTCTTAATCATTTACACCCCATTTATAGAGTTTAACAGAAAGGCTGGTCTGCCATCAGAGAGTCGTCACATTTTCTGAGCACAATAAATGTTTCATGGAGATCACAGACTGCAAAGAAAGAGACCTCTACAGTAACGTTATTACTATACATTATTCAGTGCCGATATTTCTGCATTCTGTTTGAAAAGTGTCAAATATTTTTGTCAACTTTGCCACCATCTATTGAAAAGTTTCACTATAGATCAGAGCTAATCAAAGGAATAAAAGTTCAGAAATAAGAAATTAAATACTCTGGGGTAGAAAGCCACTGAGAGTCATGCCCTGTGAGTTTTTCAGCCTTTCCTTTTTAGATGTAAACCCCACCCACTACCTGAAGCTGCCACCCAGGCTCCTCCCCTTTTGTTTTGAATGGTCTCTTCACTTTTTGTTCTTCAGCTGATTGGCCAGCCAATCCAAGCCTTCGTAGAGGCCGTCCCCACTGGTGGCACAGGTGGCCTGAATGTACCAGTTGCGGTGACGTAAGGAGTGCAGGCCCAGCTTGTCTGTGATCTCTGCAGCATTCATGGCGTTGGGCAGATCCTGGAGAAAAAGCAAAGAACAAAGTTCAGGAAAGCTTTCAAATCAACACAAAATTAACAGGAGGAGCTACTAGGGAGGTTTACCTGTTTGTTGGCGAAGACGAGAAGAACAGCATCCCGGAGCTCGTCTTCAGCCAACATCCTCATCAGCTCTTCACGAGCCTCGTTGACTCTCTCACGGTCATTGCTGTCCACCACAAAGATCAACCCTGCATGGGGGAAATAAAACCGTTAAACACAGGATATGATGTCATAAAAATCACCTTCAATTTAAACGAAGATCATCCTAATTTATAGTAATTTTGACTAAATTTCATAAACAACATTATGCATGATCTCAAGTAATATTGCAAGAAGTCTTGTGATCGGATTGCACTTGGACTATGTGTTGCAATAGCCTCTAAACTTCTACCTAATCTAAATTTTGCTCAATGTTTATTAGTTAGCTACATCAGTAGTCCTAAACTGAATTGCCTCCAACAATTATTCAGCTGCCGATGTAAATCCAACAAGTACTTTCTGAAAGTTCCATTAAAATCTGCCCTGAGATGAAGGAACACACATACCAACACAGACACAGGTGAAAACATTAACACTGAATGTGTCTTGCAGGATGATCAAATGGACTGAAGATGGTGCGCCAACTCCACACTGAGTGACGGATGTATCATGTGACAAGCTCACCTTGTGTGTTCTGGAAGTAGTGTCTCCAAAGGGGACGGATCTTGTCCTGGCCGCCCACGTCCCACACGGTGAAGCTGATGTTCTTATATTCCACCGTCTCCACGTTGAAACCTAAATAGAAAGGAACAACAAAATGAGTTTGAGAGGACTATTTAAACCAAATGCTTGTATAATTAATTCTATATCAGTTATTTCCTTACAGACCGATTGTGGGGATGGTGGTGACGATCTCCCCCAGCTTCAGCTTGTACAGGATGGTTGTTTTCCCTGCAGCGTCCAGCCCCACCATGAGGATCCTCATTTCTTTTTTGCCTATGAGGCTTTTCAACAGGTTCCCAAAGATGTTCCCCATGATGACCGGTGGCTCTTATCTCAACTGCAACAGAGCTGAAATGAAGGTGACTGATCAGTGAAGCGGGAAACACAAATTATGAATATTTAGAGAGTCAAAACCACAGAAGCTTTCCATCGCAGCACCTCGTTGCAGCTCATATGTATAAATCACACATCACACCTCGATGAGACCTAAATTTCAGAACTCCACTGGAAAAGATAAGTCGCCATACTGGATCTCTCTATGTGATTGGGGATCATAGGGTACATGTTAACTTCCGTTTTCACTGGAGGTGATGCAAGTGTAACATTTAAATCATGCCTCACGTGACACAGTCTGCACACTACTGTCAATAGCAAGGTGTTACACTTTACCTTTAGTGGCCCTTTATGGCACGGGCCCTTTAATAGCCCATCTCTCCAGCCAACACTTTTCGGCTGAGGTGCAACTCAAATAGACACAGAATGCACACATCTGCTGTGTTTTTCTTCTAAAATAAATGCTGTTTAATCAATTTTACAATTATAACTAATGTTGACACATGCAGAGCTGCTAGTACAGCCTGTTACAGCTGCAGTGGCTGTACACAGGCTACATCTGTCATAATGCGAGTGATGCTGCAGTCCAGCCGGTGGCTCCTGTCACGTTTCTTCAAGCCGGATACGGTTTATATCTGAGCGCAGCTCGTTTGTAAAACATCGGCTTATCTTTTTTCACTGTATTTACTTTTTTACAATAAATATCTCCAGATCTATTTGTGAGATAATAATGCCCGAGTCCAGTCACGACAAACGCACCAGTCGGCCCTAACGTCATCGATCGGCCGCTCTTCAGCCAAAATGATTCAGAAAACATCCAAACTCTGATATTCACGCGGCTACCTTTAATACGTGTGCACATAAATAGTCATTTTCACCATTTGCATCTCATTCACACTTACCCGTTAACGCCAGGCAGGATACCAGCTGGATTCAGCAGGCAAAGGACTGGATGTTAGTCTCGCGATACTTTAGGACTTTCATGTGGTGAAATATCGCGGTACTTGGGATGCTAAGAACGCCTCTCACGTTTGACCATCCCCAGTGACTTGTCAAAAAAGCAGCTGTTCACTTGTGACTCCAAAAACACGAAAATAAAACCGGTTCGTTTCACTGGTTGATAATAACATAAATTAGTGCTAAAATGAGGATCATACCATTATGAATTAATACATTTGGGTTGATTTGCCTCGGTTTTGACAATATCTTAAATATTATTATCAATAAATTTGACTAATAACCCCACAGCTCTAAACAAAGTCCCACATTTTAGAACTTCTAATCTAATTCTAAAGGTAAATTGATTTCTCTTGAGGTTAAAGAGTTTAAATATTCTTTAATGAAACAACAAAAAACATTAGTTATTAAATAAATTAAGAATGTATTAGAATTTGTTTAAAGCTGTATGCAAAATGGCTTTAAATAATGTAACGCTGATTTTAACAGTTTTTTTACAGTTAGCAGGAGCAATCCATGTTCATTATACACGGTTCTGATCTCCGCAATGGATAAAAGCGTCAATAGAATATATAAAATTCTAAAATGAAAATCTTTAAGTGCCACATCTTTGTTCCATCAATGAAAAATAAATATTTTGTACCATTATAGGAGCCCAAATAACTCAACCCGTGTACAATGTAACCACGAGTCTTCAGGCCAACATGCCTGAATAATTAACACAAGAATCATCTTAATGAATAAGTAATTGACTGACTGTAACAGGATGCCAAGTGATACTTCCTGGCATCAGCCCCTCTTGTGTCAAAGATAATGAGGCGACAGAGGAGGCAAGATGACACAGACTGTTAAAATATTCTAGTTGATTTAACCTCTTGGATTCCCAAAACAACAAAAACAAAAACAGGTTGAACGGCTCACCCCGAAACCGGTGAATTCAACTTTTTGCCTGTGTTGCACATCAGTCAGCACTCCAGTAATAGATGTGTTTATCAGTTCAGTGGTGAAGGCAGGGGAATAAGGAGGGGAGCAGATGTTTGCAGCTGCAGACCAGATTACGGGGTGGAGTGGCTGGTGAGGAAACAGGCTGAGTTTGGAGCTTGGAGAGGGTTACAGGGGGGTTAAAGCGGGCTCGGGTGGTGGCAGGAGAGGTAGGGTGGGGAGTTATGACTTAAAGAAGCCTTTCCTCTGAAGTGTCTGCCAGCGTGCACCCCAGCAAACACAATCACAAGTCTCGTTGGTTCTGCTAGCTGAACTAATGAGGGCCTGCACGTTGAGGGCAGGGGCTTTGATGTTCTGGGTAGCTGGTTCCTTGTGTTTTCTCTCCCTTGCTCCTTCTCTGCCTGTCCCACATCAAAAATGAAAGGGGGAGTTGAGAAGCAGATGTTTTGAGGCATGTATTTATATAGAGCAGAGTTTATTCACCCCTTCTCCTGATTGTCCACTGCCTCTGCAAGTTCTGCAACCCTGCTGCATGAGGCGAAGGGACATACCCCCAACCCCTAAGCGTTGCATCGAACTAAACACTCCAAATCGCCTTACTTTATACACATAATCATCTTGTCAGTCAAAGTGGGCAACTTTTATCTCTCCTAACTTCCTCTCTCCTTCTGCCTCTCTTTAATTTCACCCCAATCTGGATGTCATTATTCAAGGGGGCAGTCGATGTGTTGCTATGCATGTGTCTCAGCAGCGACGAGGGGGAGAATGAGGGAGAAGGAGCGAAAGCAGACCCCGGCCATCCACCGAACCTCTGTCTCACACATGGTTGAAACAGTGACAGGAAATTCCCTTATGCAGCAGCTCCAGGGTGAAATGATAAAGGAGAGAAGAAATTCAAACCAGAAATCCAGACCCTTATCATTCCGTGCAAAGAGTCGTCCCATTCTTTCCACTCAGAGGAATTCCAAAAATAAGAACAGTCAACTCAGCCAATGTCATCCCACCAGAGTCGGAGGATATTTACAAAAGTCCAAATACAAACAGGACTCAATTGGCGTCAAATCCTATGTGGCAAAAATGCTTTTCCCAGCAGGCTGAGCACAGAGACAGTTTGGATTATCTAAGATATCTAGGAATGCTGTCATCATAAATCAAGTCGTCTGTGGTGACATTAGCATTTTGCTAAATCTACACTTTGTGTCTACCAGCGTGCATGGTTTTGATTGTGCGCTAGCGCCAATATTTTAGCATAAACATGTCTTTGTGCACAAACACATGCATTTATGTGCATGTGTTTGGATTTTTACTAGTCTGTCTCCTTGGCAACAGGCATACAGGTTCCATGTGGTTCAACAAGTCACATCCTTGGCTACAATCTCTGGACAGATGATCCCCTCAGATCTTCTAAGAGCAAAGACTGGAATAAGCACCCCAACTCTTTGCTCTTTCGCTCCCTCTACGCAGCTCTCCAGTAATAAAAGTCATACTTTAGGGAAACAATATCCTGCAGCCTTAAAATGCCCTACTCTCAGCATGAAGCGGCTATTAAAAAAATTCTCTCACCTTCCAAATCTGTAGTGCATCAACCCTCCCCCGCCCCTCCATTTACACTGCATTAAACACACACACACACACAAACCTACACACAACCCTCAGCATCTTTTCAAGACTAAAGTGGACCCATCTCTCACTTTGACGTGTGCTCCTGTGGGAAGAGTCTAAGAAGGTCTCAGATAAACAAAATGAAAGGAAACAAGAAATTGGAATATAAAGAGCTCAGTCCTGATTTTATAAGAAAGTGAGACACGCCATATTAAAATCAAACCAAGACGAGGCATATTTCCTTCATATGGATGGGAAATAATAAAAACGACATGACCAGTTGCAATGTTATCCACATTTCCTGGATGTAATTATGTTTATGCATTCAGCAGATGCTAACAGAGGTGAGACAGTAAGGTGGGTGAAGTGTTTTATGTAGGACCTGGGATCAAATTGGAAACCCTCAAGTTACCGGACGACTTATTCTGCCTCCTGAGCCGCTGCGGTTAAATCATCCATCCATCAATTTTCTCCACCCGCTTATCCACACAGGGTCGCAGGGGGGCTTGTTCCTATCCATAACAGTCTTTGGCGGGACACACCCCGGACAGGTTGCCAGTCCATCGCAGGGACACACAGAGACATGCCGGACGAACAATCGTGCACGCACACACTCACACTTGAGGACAATTTTAGAGAGGCCAATCAACCTGACAGTCATATTTTTGGACTGTGGGAGAAAGGAGGAGAACCCAGAGAGAATCCAAGCATGCACAGGGAGAACATGCATGGGAGATCCCAGGCCAGGATGTGAACCCAGAGCCTCCTTGCTGCAAAGCAACAGCACTAACCACTGCTCACTGTGCAGCCCTGCAGTTAAATCAATGAAGCTGAATTATCAGCTGTTTTATAAGGAGTCACAAGACAGAATTTGCTCTATAAATCCACGTTTCACCTGCTGAGTTTCATGACTTTATGAGATGTGATGATCCTATAAAATGTGTGGGATTCTTTGACAACGTGCTGCTTACTGTGTGACCTATTTCTATTAGAAATACTTTTCCCCGTGAAATATTCTGAAACACCAAAATGAGTACCAATAATCTGAGTCACAGGTGTAAAGCCTACAGGTTGTGTAAATGTTTGGAGGAATATTGGATCAAATACTTCAGTCAAAACTGGAACTTGTGAGTCAGTGAAACCAACAAGACAGCCTGATGTGATAATCATATTAATAACAATACATTTACAAATATACATATACACAATAAAATAAAATAAACAGCTACTGTACATCGAGGAAGTAGACAGTGAAATGTAACTGCTTCTCTGCTGTGGCTCTGCTCGTTTGTGGGGAAGAAGCGACGGGACGTGTGCCTTTTGTATGGCTGAAAGGGGTAACGTTTAACCAGACCATAGCAAGACAAATGACATGAGTCACCTCTTCAGCCTCTGACTTGGCATTTTGAGAATAACAGCGGCTACGAGGACAAAATAGATCCCAGATGACTAGACCCAAGGAGAAAAAAAGGAAAGGAGGGGATGAACAGATTTTCTGGAAGAGTTGCACGAGGAGCAAAAACAAAAGCTGAATCTACTTGCACACATTGACCCACTCTGTGAGACGACACTCCTCACACAGCACGTAGCAGCACCAGTGAAATCGACAGTTGCATCGCTCGCTGCGTGTCTGCTTTAGGATGTTGTGCCCGCGGCCGCAGCACAGAGAGCTGCAGCTGTCTGTGCTGTAACTAGTTTTGTTGCAGATGCGGCCTTGTGTGCCTGGAGAGTCTACAGACACATCGGGCTCACAGAAGTCAGGAGACTTCTCAAAATACACCAGCTCCCTGGAAAGGCTCAGACGACGCGCTCCGCCGAACACCCCAGAGCTTCCACCGGCCCCGTTTTCTGTCCGAGGGTTGAAAACGCCGTTGTTCTTGTTCTGGGAGTTGACGAAGATGGCCGACGAGAACTTTTCCTTCAACAAAGTTCCTACAAGCCGGAAGTCTGGGGACACGTACCAGCAGGTCTTGAACTGGCAGCTCCCTGATGTGCCGTGACATTTGCACTTCCGTGTCATGTGGTCAGTCACTATCTGTGTAAAGAAAAATACTTTCAGTAACACAATTGCATCAGGTACCTTGTTGGTGTCGTTGATGCATATAAGAGTGGACATGCATATCACTCACTTGTCGTCCCACACGGTTGTTGTGAATCCTCATGCGAGCGTGGATGTCCCTTGGAGAGCCGCGGGAATCAAGCCAGTCCCTTGAAAAACGTTCCCCAAAGCGCAGGTCATGGCTACAACCCCCCCACATCCAGGTGTCTTGCATCAAGTTCGGCTCATCAGACAAAGGTTTCATCAGGGCAGAATGCAGGTTGGTGGGTAGGTTGCCACGGCGACCGTTTAGCTCTGAGGGTAATGATTTTGCCATGTCAATGGCAACTCCGCCCTTTTGCAGAGTCTGCAGCTGCAGCTGTGTGAGTTTCAGCCGGATCTTGTCATCGTCCTGGCGACGCTTGGCATCACAGCTGCACCCCCTTAGCTTGCCCATGCTGCAGGCCGAGGCCACAGAGTGAGCCACACCCGCTGCCAGCAGGGCCAGGGAGAAGGCACTCTCTCGAAGACCTGGGGGCATGACGAGCACACTCAGATAGCTGAAGACGACAAACAGTCTAAAAATGTCACCTGAGTAAGACACGTCTCATCTCTCGAAACCTCTAGGTGGACTCGTGGTAAGTTTGCCTGAGCCTCTCACCCCTGCTGAGGATGGTGCTGTGGTGGGGCAGTCTGCCAAAGCCCTCCAGTGAGGAGCAGTTCCATCGGTGGCCTCGGAGCTGGTGCTGGCATTCATGGATGGCCACTTGGATGCCCTGCAGTGCAGACGCGGTCACATCAGGATTCCTCATGCACATCCGCATCTGACGTTTACTGAGGCCCACCAGCCTCAGACACACAGAGTGAGGAGTTAGCACTGGGTCTCCTGCCACCTTCAGGCTGAGGATGTCATTGCATAGCACCCTGTAAGAGAACCAGAGGGGGTGTCAACATTAGTTCATCAGACAAATCCATATGAAAGAGGAGTGAATATTTTAAAATGGAACAAAACTTAATGTAAAGCAATGCACTACATAATAAGTATTTTAAAATGTTTTACTAATGCATAAGCATAAATGATGGGGACTGATGCATGCTTTTAATGTGTCAGCTGTTTAGTTAAAGAGCAAATAACATTCTATGGATTAAAACAGATTAAATAATCATAAGCAGCAATGAAAATTCACAGAGAGAGATGCTTCGGATCTGTTTAAGGTAGAAAACTGACCAAACATTGATTGCTGATGTTTTGATATTATACTCAACTTACTAAATCAGAGACAGATGTCCCATCTTTTAAATAAACAACCTTTTAATGAAGGAGGTCCTAACTTCCCCATGTTCTCCCACGTTACATCAACTCTCCGGGAGCTCTCCAAGTGCACTTACATGAACGCAGGTGACATAAATGCCGCAACCAAAATCAAGAGGTGATCCCAGCGGAGTTTGTTTGAGAGCTCCATTTTGTTGAGCGTCTGTCGAGACGTGACATTAAAACACTGGAGATAAGGTCCTCAGATTGAATAAAAGATGTATATTTAAAAAGAGAGGCAGAGAGAGTGGAGGATTAGCGACGAACGACTGAGGAGTGAAGACGGAGAACAGACGAGCTCGGGGGCGAGAGTAAACTGGAGGTGGGGGGAGAGACAGAGGGGAGGGGAGCAGATGCCTCTACAGGCGACTGTTTGCTAAAATATTGGCCAATATTATAAATGGATCACCAGTTGATTACTGGACTATCAGAGAACCTGTTCGTTCTTTGGAGCGTAAAAGTGACGTCTCCAAACTTTTCCGCACGCGAGCACGCTCATAACACAAGGGCATCCAGCTCAATCAGATCATGGATTTTATCATAGATATGAATCTGATTGAAAAACTATGAATACGTTTATGCATAACGCTTGTTTTATGTGTATAACATCACGTTTATTCAAGAAGGCTAACAAAAATGGCTAATTGTGCTGAAAAGTCAGATTTTATTCATAAAGGAGGAGATTATTTTAATAAATGAATGGGGGAAGGGAGCGTGACTGCTTCCACTGTACGACACGGGACACGGAGGCAGCAGAAGGCAAGCGGCACAGCTCAGTCTTCAACAATAATGTTTTAGTCCCCCTTCCTCCCACCTCCATCAGAGCTGCTGTTCTTCATTGTTGTTCGAAGCAATTTCACTTTGTCAAACTCAGATCTCAATTTCAAAGTGTGAACACTCAAGTGACGGATCAGATCTATTCTGAAAGCCTTAATTATTCACTAAAATTGATGCAAAGATAAAATAAAGTATTTTTGAATTCTTTGAACTTACTTCTCAGGTGTGGTGGGACATTTTGGGCCCAGGTCAGGTGGCTATTCTGCGAGAAGTCCGGGCAACGTATATGATGGATAAGAGAATCCAGACGAAACATAAGCGTAAATAGTGGCGCTGCAGGAGGTGCGTGCGTGCTGCTTTCATAAAATTAAGTTAAAACCCCCCATCGAACACGGTTCGCTTAGTGACACCAATTCATCTAATCTCCTTCCATTCCCTAAGCTGCAGCAATGGAAAGTGCATTAGCATTCGGCCTTGGTGTGTATATCTAAGTGGCTTAAAAAGTGATTTGAAGTTGATTTGTATATAAAAGGCTCCCTTTATCCGGATTGAGGCTCTAATCTGCTCCGTGTCGCATGACTGCTCCAGGAAACCCCTTTTGAGCACCTTCATATATGGCTGTCATTAAAGCTTTTTTCTCTTTTTTTGTACAAAAGCCCACTTCCTTTTACTGTCATCTTTAACGAGTGTGTGTGTGTGTGTGTGTGTGTGTGTGTGTGTGTGTGTGTGTGTGTGTGTGTGTGTGTGTGTGTGTGTGTGTGTGTGTGTGTGTGTGTGTGTGTGTGTGTGTGTGTGTGTGTGTGAGAGAGAGAGAGAGAGAGAGAGAGTGTGTGTGTGTGTGTGTGTGTGTGTGTGTGTGTGTGTGTGTGTGTGTGTGTGTGTGTGTGTGTGTGTGTGTGTGTGTATTACAGTGTGAAACATGCAAATCAGCAGATATGAAGGAAACGTGTTCCCATGGTCCAGTATGGAGCAGTTTGGGGACAGTCAGACTCGCTCCAAGTCTGAGGGTTTGATGGAGATGCCGCAAAGTGGCTCAAGCTGTGATTACACAGTGCTGCGCTGCGTCGAGGGAGGTCTGCAAACCAGATGTTAGGGCTGCTTTGTATCCTCACTCGTCCCCCTCTTTTGCCTGCTTCATCATGCATCAAACTTCTGATTGGTGGCCATAATTCATCTCTCTCGCGGTTGAAAATCATTTAAGTAGCCCAGCAGGCAACATGAGTAATAGGACAACCAAGTCTTATTGTTTCTTGAAGTTGCGCGCGCGCGTTTCGGACTGTTAGTGATGATAGTTTTATTGCCTCATAAAAAGGAACCTTTTGAAGGACATTAATGATTAGACATATAGTAATGCATGCTTTAAACCCGTGAAGCAATTGACGGGGAAAAGGAAACGGTATTAGTACACGTTAGGGCACATTTAGAGAGGAGGAGATGCGGTTAGGGTGTTGGCTAGTATAAAGGCACTTAGATGGCTCATATTCCGCTGTAACTGTACTTGCTGTGACACCAGCGGTAAAGCAGCAGAGCGGACGCACCCACAGCAACTGTACACTGACAGGAACACTTCTCTGGACTTCTGGATGCGGACGCAGCGGGAAATAATCCAACACGCAGATTTTTGCAAAGGGGACTGATTCTGTGATGATCGTGTGATGACCACACAACTAATATGCGCAACATTGTGGGTTGCCCTCCTTTATCCCTTCTTCTTTTCTCTTTTCTGCTCAGTTGTTTTTCCTTATTCATTGTGAGCTGAAGAGAATTAACCATCCCTCCCTCCAATCCTATTGAGAAAAAAAAAACTGCGAAGAAAAAAAAGACAGAGGGAGATGAGAGCAGCAAATCCCCTTTTTATTCCCCTCGTAGCGCTCAATAACAGAAGAATGTGTTGCCTATCAGTCACCGAGGGGATCAAGTCTTCGGGACTGTCCCACGCGTTCAATGTGCCTTACAAAACATCACTGAGAGAGACAGAGTGAAGAGGACAACAGCAGCAGCATCCTGCCTGGACACTTCACATCATAGCAACCTGTCGCCTCTCCACGTCCATTTAAGTCAATTAGAGCTGCAGCATCTCTCATCGGACTGCGCTGTGGTGAGTGACAACAAAGCACGATTCTGGAATCCAGTTATGATTTCTTTCTATTTTTCAAAGATGAAAATCACGACTGTGATTACAATAATGTTGAAAATGCGATCCCCCTCTCCCTCCCCTCCTCGTGTTTGGACTGAAGTCAGGATGAGGAGTCTGGCGCTGCTGCTGGGAGTGAAAGCCGCCTGCATCCTCCTGGTGTCTTCGCTCTCACGCACAGGAGCCGTCAACAACAGCGGCCGGTGGTGGTGAGTTCAGCTGAGCTGATGCGTCTCCGACAGGAAACACCCTGTAGCATCGAGTTTATGAGGTCACATTCCGCACCGCAGACTTGAAATAACGTGTTTGTTTTGGACGCGTTCACAACTTCTGTTCAGCGTGGAAAAAAGGCGCAACTGCACAGAAATCTCTTGGCATACTTTCTAACACGCTGAGCTCAAAAACGCTTCTAATTATTATTATTATTATTATTATTATTATTATTATTATTATTATTATTATTATTATTATTATTGCACTTTATTCTATTCAATGAAATTAGCAAAATCGCCCTATTTCACAAGTGTTTATAGGCGATTAATTAAACTTTCAGTTTTTTTTCTTAACTTTATTGTGGCGTTTTACCACAGGGGTTTGGAAACTTTTTCTGTGGGATAAATTTAATTATTTCATGGCTGAAAAGAGCCCCGGGTCTTGTTCAGGGTCATGTTTGTCTAATGAATTCCGCCATGCTGCGATCATAACCATGCACTATTATACCAGGCGTTAAAAAAAACAATTGCATTATCTGCACATTGTCATCTCTGCAAAAACAAATGAAACCCATAAACCGTGAGCTGCAAAGTAATTACGATATAACGAAATTTTTCTTGCGGTAGGCTATAAGTTATCTGAGAATTCACATATTCCAAATGTAATCTGAAATCATAACAAACTGGTGGGGAAAAAGTGCTGCAATGAAGAAAACACCCAAAAAAGTGGGGATTAATATTATTATTTATGTTCCCAGGCCTCACCGCACCGATGTCTGGTTCAGCCCTCCTAACAGGCCCGTTTTTCCGGATGATAATGCTCAACAGGAGACAGAGCCATTAGCTCTACAGGAGTCCAACATGTCCACACAAATATCTAAAATACCAGATGAAGTGGAAAATTATACTGCATGAGTGCTGCTGAACATTCAGAAACTAAATGTGGATTTAAACTCGGTCCCAAATCTGACAAAACACACGTGGAAACATTTCCACAAACATATTCAATATTTTTACACCATTTTACATCAAAATGTATCAATTTGTGTGGACAGTTATTTACATTCGCACATATTTTCACTACTGCCCTCCCAAAAATAAATAAATAAATAAATAAAAATAAAAAACCTTTCCCCTGCAGCAGACGTTGTCTTTGGTGATGTCAATGATTTTTTGACATGATGGACAGATTTATATATCTGATTATTAGGGTCATGAGCTGAGCAGCATGTAATATTTCAAAGATAGATGAAAAAATTCTTCTTCTTTCTGTGATGTTTTGTTTCATCTTTTCAGTCAACGTTTAACTGATTCTGTTCCTGCCTTAGGTAACTGTTTCTGATCCAAGAGAACAAATAAAAATAAAAACCTTAAACATTTAGGGAAATAAACTGAAGAGTGCAGTCTGAAATTCCACTGCCAAAAATGACATACGATGAAGAAAAACACCTGATTTTTTATGTGTAAAATGAAACTGAGATCAAAATAAATGTTAAAGCTGCTGATAGTGACTCATTAAAGTTACCACGATAACCACACACCTGTCCCTCATTGTCTAACAGCAATCATAATGAGGAGCAAAGAGGAACACGGACTAAGAAGTATGATGTTTGAAAGTCACATTTAAAAAAACAAGACACTTTCCAGTTTTGAGGAGAACAGCCAACTTTGTTTAAAACAGCAAAAACTGACAAAAGTACTAAAACACAGACCAATTAAAAATCATATTATAAAAAGACAAGGTGGATAAATAAAAGTCAATAGATCATGAAGATAAAATCAAGTCAAATATATGAAAACTTGGGTGTGCACTCTCTTCACGCTGGGGAAAAGCAAAAGTCATCTGACAGACAGATCAGGTTAAAAATACCAAAATCTCAGCATTTGATGTAAATGTTGTAAATGTGCTTAAAAGTTGTAGGAGTAAGAATAATTGGTAGCACTTTACAATAAGGGCCAATTTATAAACATTACTTAGTGCATTATTAATCATTAATAACCTATTTAATAAAGTATCAACAGCTGCTTATCCATATTATGTTATGCATCACTAAGCAGACACCCCCCTTGGCTTTTTGCCCTAAGAGCACTTAATATCGGAAACAATAATAATGGGACCTTTTGTTTAGTAATGCTTAATAAGTCACTATGTAACGGTAATAAAGGGACCCTTTGTTTAGTAATGCTTAATAAGCCACTAAGTGTGTAAAGGGACCCTTATTGTAAAGTTACTGAATTTGTGGAAAAGATTTGAACATTAAGTATAAACATTTGTGTGATTTCATCAACTGTCAGTTCAACAATCTGTGGAAACAATGTTTTTGTGTAAAAGCTGTCAGAGGCATCAAAATGCTACTTCAGTAAAACTCAGATTTCTGTCAGAAGTTTAAAGTCTGGACACTGTGAGGTTTGTTTTTTAGCTTCAGAGTTTGAGTTTTCTGAACTATTGGGCCAAAGTTCCTGTAGAAGTTTCTAGTTTTCATGGATCATTTTTATTTAACTAAATTCATCACTCTGACAAAACGCAGCACTGTTCCCAGCTGAAATGAACTTTTGATGTATAATTATAGTATTTATTTAGCTGCAGGGTATAGAAATGGATCAAATGTGACATAACTGCAAATAGATTATACATGTGTACACTCTGGCACAGACAAAAAATGTTATCCTTTTCATGTTAAGCTGAAAACTTTGCATTGTGTTGCATTCATTCAGTCTTGGAATAACTTATTGCTGCTGTAATGAAAAATAATAACTGATATTTCAAAGAAACAACACTCCTGGGGGTGCCAGCTATTTGGGATTTTAGAGGGTCACCTTACAGGCAACATGGATGAACTGCAGATTCATCATTCTAACGCCCATTGTCCTTACTGTTTTCGTGTCAGGGGTATTGTCAATGTGGCTTCCTCATCCAACATTCTCACCAATTCCAAGAATGTGCAGTTGGTCCTGGACCCAAGCCTGGCCCTCCTGAATCGTCGCCAGCGCCGGCTGATTCGGCAGAATCCTGGCATCCTGCACGCTATTGCTGCAGGGCTGCACACCGCCATAAAGGAGTGCAAGTGGCAGTTCCGTAACCGTCGCTGGAACTGCCCGACCACCCACAGCTCCACTATTTTTGGCAAAATTGTCAGTCGTGGTGAGCCTCTCTTGTCTTTCTCAACAGGCAATCTATACAGTATGGGAACCTCTTCCCAACATTAAAATATTTTTCCTGTCTTACTTTGAGTAAAAATGGGCTAATCCAAATTTGAAAGCTGTTAAAGGTTCTAATGGGAGTTTGACGTTGCTCCTTTAGGTTGCCGAGAGACAGCGTTTGTATTTGCCATTACCAGCGCAGGAGTGACCCATGCTGTTGCTCGATCCTGCTCCGAAGGAGCCATTGAGTCGTGCACATGTGATTATCGCCGGCGAGGTCCTGGAGGGCCAGACTGGCACTGGGGGGGCTGCAGTGACAATGTGGATTTTGGCCGGATGTTCAGCCGTGAGTTTGTGGACTCCAATGAGAGGGGCAGAGACCTGCGCTACCTCACCAACCTGCACAACAACGAAGCAGGCCGAATGGTAACGCTCTCCCTCTTCACATTCATGCCTGCTGAAACTGTCTTGTTTGTTGTTGTCTTACAATTTGTGTCATAAAGTGAGCTATGAGCTGAGGTTTCTGGTCTTCCTCTCATCAGACTGTATCATCGGAGATGCGTCAGGAGTGTAAGTGTCATGGCATGTCAGGCTCCTGCACGGTGCGGACCTGTTGGATGCGCCTACCCAGTTTCCGCACAGTGGGAGACTTCCTCAAGGAACGCTTTGATGGAGCATCCAGAGTCGTTTATGCTAACAAGGGCAGCAACCGAGCGTCTCACCGAGCAGACCCCCGACATCTGGAGCCTGAAAACCCAGCACACAAACCCCCGTCCGTCATGGACTTGGTCTATTTTGAGAAATCACCAAACTTCTGTTCCCACAGTGGCAAATCTGGAACTTTGGGAACTTCGGGAAGAACATGCAACAGCTCCTCTCCAGGCCTGGATGGATGCGAGCTGCTGTGCTGTGGACGTGGCTTTAAGACTCAAACCGAAAGTGTGACTGAACGATGCCACTGCACATTCCACTGGTGCTGTCATGTCAGCTGTCTGAACTGTACCAGCTCACGAACATTACACCAGTGTCTATGATCAAAGGTGGACACCTAGACGAGTGCAAGAGGCATGAACGAGGAGCCAAAAAAGCCTTTTTACATAAACAGATCACTGGTTAAGGGGACCACAGGCACTCAGGAGGTTTGTGGTGTTCAGTAGAGGCGGGGAAAACTCCAAGCTTGATAGAGTTATCCTTCTGGAAGCAGAATTCAATCAGTATTTTCAAAATCCAAAGATAAAAAACTATTTTCGTGAACAGGGTACCAACAGTGTAAATGTGCTTCCTCTTCACCTTTAACGGTAAAGTTTACAACACCTATGTAGAGGATTGAGATAAGTTAGAGCTCTAAACGGGAAAAAACAGGTATGTTTCAGGTTCTTATGACAAGAGCAGAGAGAATCAAACATTTGATCATGTATGATGGTAAGGACTTCTGACTAGAGGAAAGTTTTAATAACACATCTGTTTTTATTTTTTAAATTATTTTGGCCTCAGTTACATGAAAATTAGTAATGAATCCCTGGGCTGTGCAGCATAGGCCTAGATGTCTTCAGATATGTACATTTTTTTTCCCAATGTGTCAATTTTTATTTGACATTTTTTCCTCAGATGTCACTTAAACCTAATATCCCATCTCCATCAAAGAAAACAGAAACTGACACAGAACAATTTGAATGTATTATAAATACACTGAATATTATAGAATTAGTTTAGCAAAACTGAGAGAAAACTACAAACAATTCCATGTTCTGGATGAAAATCTCATGATAAAACAGTGTTATTATAAAACTAAGTGTGCAGGATTAAACCAGTCTAGGCTCAAAATTTTTTATTTGTCTATAAATTCAATCGATTGAGTGAATCTTTTTTCACACGAGGAAGTTTACGCAAAAAAAAAAAATAATAAAGTCAATGCATATCAGCTAAAGGAACCAAAATGTTTTATGTATTAAAATGTTAGAATATATTTATAAAGATTTCACTTGCAGATTTGCTAAATGGTTTTTGAACCTATCAGTGGCTGGATGTTCATGCCACATTTAGTCAGTAATTTTTTTATTTTTTTATTTTTATTTTTTTACTTTAAAGCAGCTGAAAAATGTTGCTAGAAACAGAAACTGATTGCAATTTTATATGCTGTCTGCATTTGGTCATGCACTGAAATTTACTTTTTTATGAGTGTAAATATAAATATTTATTTTCAAGGATTTTTATACTGTTATAGATAAATGTAAGAGCAGGTATTTTTAGATATCAGTCAAATATTTAGGTTTTAGTTGCTTTTTTTTACTTGTATGATAAAACATTAAAGTTTATATTTTCAGTGAAGCTGCCCAGATGCAGTGATGTCTGATATGCATTCTGTTTTTAGATAATTTTGACAGTGGACCAAGTGAAGCCGGTCCATGGGTGTCCTTTGATTAATCCTATTACCGCCACCAAGGCAGCCTCTGTCTGCAGCTCACAAAATACCCCAGCATTCTGAGCTCTCAGCCACCGAATGAGGTCTGCTTATCCAGCTACATCCCATACAGTATCAGGGGTTAAAACTGAAAGCTGTCATTCACTGATCTAATTACTGAAAATAATAAAGACAATTTTCAGATTATGACACTAAACACAGAATTATGGGGAAACGTTCTTTCATGAACCCGTCACATCGTCACAAAAGAGGTTGATAATGAGATAAATTGGCAAAAGTGCTTTAAGTTTGTGTGCACTCCATCGAAAAACAACTTAAGTGTTTTCCTCGCCAGAGAAACTACACCAGGTCTGACTCTGAGCTGTATGGCCCTCCTGGAGAGGGCCAGTGGCTGGCACACTATGGCCAACCACTGAACATTCTCCCTCTTCTGATTTTAACGTTTTACTCTCTTTAAAGTCAAAATTAGTCATCATCACACACTGGTGAATTTACATCTCTGATTTGACCAATCCCCATGGGGCGTGGTGAGCTGCAGCAGTGGCCACGCTCGGGAACTTTTTGGTGGTTTAACCCCCCAAACCAACCCCTTAAAGCTGAGTGTCAATCAGGGAGGCATTGGGTCTTATTTTTAAAGTAGCCCATTTGGAATGACCCAACCGGGATTTGAACCCCAACCTCCCAGTCTCAGGGCAGAAACTCACATCACTAGGCCACTGAGAAGATATAAACGTACAGGTTTAAACATAGAAACTACTACTACTAGTTCATGTGTTTATTTTTGTGTGCGTCTCTGTTTTATTTTCTCAAACCCCCAGTAGATCATGACAGATGGTTGCTCATGCTGAGCCACGCTCTGTTGTGGGCTTTTCCTGTTGAAAGGGAGTTTTCCTCTCCACTGTCGCTACATGCATGCTTAGTACAAGGGGTTGCTTTAAAGACACTGACACAAAAAGTTGGCTCGATGCAATAAGCAGGTCGGGAACTTTTGACTGATTGGCATAATGAACTGAGCATCATGCACTGATAAGTAGGTTCAACCGGAATATTTACTTTGGAAAGTGCCTTGAAACGACTCTAGTGTGCATTGGTGCTATATACAATAAAACTGAATTGAATTGAATTGGAACAGTGGTTAGTGCTGTTGCCTTGTAGCAAGAAGGTTCTGGGTTCAAATCCCAGCCTGGGATCTTTCTGCATAGAGTTTGCATGTTCTCCCTGTGCATGAGTGTTCTCTCCAGGTTCTCCAGCTTCCTCCCACAGTCCAAAAATGTGACCCTCGGGTTGATTGACCTCTTTAAAATCAGGTGTGTGTGTGTGTGTGTGTGTGTGTGTGTGTGTGCATGGTTGTTTGTTCTGTGTGTTTTCCAGAAATAGACAGACAACCTGACCAGGGTCTATCTTGCCTGAAGATTGCTGGAGATACCCCCTTGTTCATGTTCTCACCACTTGAGGATATGGGTTTTTAAGGATTGACACAAGTGAGGGCTGTGCTAATAACCCAGAAAAATCTGTGGAAAATAAAGTGCAATAGAGGGTAGCAGGAACAAAAGAAGAAGAAAGTGGTCAATTAAAGAAAGAAGAGGGAAAGCAGAGTTCAAATCCCAGTCATGAGAGTGAGGTGGGAGAGTTGTTGGAGACAGTGAGTGGAGGGGGTGCTGCCTGTGGGAGTGCTCAGGAGTCAGTGATAATTAGCTCAATTAGTGACAAAAGCAGTGTAATAAATACCGACTTAGTGTCTGGGTCCCTGCTGGCCTCTCCCTGCACAGCCTGCGATGTGGCTCTGGCCTGACGGACAATTCATTAAACTGACAAAATACCCCACCGTCCAGGCGTGACGCAGCGAGTTAGCCCCCTACATGCCCGGCTCATTGTTCTAATTGTCTGGGCTGGAGTCACTTTGTGGCCGCCTCCTCTTTCACCCACCCCGCGTTCACGCTCTGCCTTCAGAAAAGCCACGGAGCTAATGCCCCTACCTTACTCCGCAAGTAGGTGATCGGCAGGTTGGGGAAAAGAAAACAGTAAGAGCTTGGGGTGGGGTTGGTGGTGGGGGAAGCAGTGGGATTAGCGAATGGAGGTTGCCTGGGAGTACTGGGAGCCGCACTCATCGGAATGCAGGAGAGATGAGTCCAGAAGCTCGGATGAGTGACAAAGCGAGAGTTAATAAGGAAAGATTGAAGGGGCTGGCGACAATGGGCCGCCACCCGAGTCGAAATGAAATTGCTTCCGAGGATTATTGGGAAAGGGTGTGAGCATTGTAGAGTTGTGTGTGTGTGTGTGTGTGTGTGTGTGTGTGTGTGTGTGTGTGTGTGTGTGTGTGTGTGTGTGTGTGGGTTTGCTTGGCATTTGTGTGTTTGGGATTCAGTGCGTGTGTGTGCGGGAGCAGGGGGATTGCAGGATTGAACGCTGTCCCTCTGGTTGGGGAGCAGGAGACCAGGAGAGGCTAACCGGCTGTTCCCACAGTCTGTTCTCCTGAAGCCAACTTTGACACACGGGGCTGCCAGGCGGCAAGCAGGCAGCCATGGGGAGAAGGGTATAAACAAGAACCCAGCTACAAGTCACTCTCTCTGGAAGGCCAGCAGAGGAGAGACATAGACTGGAGTCAGGGATTTGAGGAGAATAGTGTTGGAAAGCTGCTGGAGAATGGGACTGGAGGATTTGGAAAAATGAAACAGAAATAGTTTTGAATCTTTCTGCTTGCCATATTCTCATATAAACACCTCATTTACATCCAGTCAGAGCCATCTCATTAATGGAACACGTCCTTTTCTGTCAGGGGACTTACTTGTCAAGATCATTCTTGTAAAAATAAGTCAATTTTCCATCATCTGTACAGATTCAAACAGGAAACCTGTTGTATCAGTCACCAACCTGACAATAAACCATCTCCAAATGTCACTATGGGGACACTTTAAGGAAAATTTTATAATTGCATTAAACAAATCAACCAGTAAGTCATTGAGATGTGATTTATTAAAACTCATTTAAATTGTCAAATAACATTTGACCGTTGGTTGGTATTAGCTCAAAAAAAAAGAGTTTGGAGATGGGTTTAGGTTGCATTCAATAGTTGTGATGGACAACGAAGCACTGATTTGATTTCTGTGCTGAACCAACACACTGTGTAATCCAAGCACTCAATTATAGGCAGTGATCCAAACAATTGGGGTGTTTTTATTAAATGAACATCCCTAAAATGCTTGTGTAACAATCTGAAGAATTTGCCTGGTGCCGCTGAGAGACCGCAGCAATATTGCACACCAAGATATGCATTTACTGCTTCCTCGCACAAAAGTAGGCGATAACAGAATAACTTTTACCAAAATTCACAGAAAGCTAGGAAGTGGGTCAGCAAATGTCATCCTGGTGGGTCTTTCAACCCATATTTCTGGGATATTTCATGAGAAATTTGTTTGTGCACATGTTTAATTTAGTAAATGTGTGAGTGTGTGGGTGTGTTGATGGCAGCTGGGAAGCAGACACGGTCCAGGAGAATCATCCCCTAGCAACTGACCTTTTTGGCAGATGGCCGTTCCGGAGTAACAGCCACCCAACATCACAATGGTCGTGGCCTCCTAACATCTCCATCACTTCATCATCTACTGACCTGCCACAGCCTGTCACACAGGAGAAAGCAAATGCACGCATGCTTTTGCAAACTTTAGCATCTTGTTAATGTTCTTCCTCAAGGGTATAACATTCAATAGATGGGCGTGAGAGACTGGTTTAGAGGAGATATGGTGGATACTCTGTCTGCAGACCTTCATATACTCTCAAACTGCTGTTTTCCATTGTTGGGATTCTGCACATTGGGAATCAGAGTGGGAATGTGGAGAGACCACTCGACCACAGTGAGCTATCAGTATGATGTCTGTGGTCAGGCTCTGTGCCCCTACGGAGGGAGCGAGCCCTGCACTTAAGGTGGGAGGGAAATAAATTGTGCATTGTGTGTGTGTGTGTGTGGTGTGTGTGTGTGTGTGTGTGTGTGTGTGTGTGTGTGTGTGTGTGTGTGTGTGTGTGTGTGTGTGTGTGTGTGTGTGTGTGTGTAACAGAATGAGAGAGAACCTACAAACACACTTATGCAACTGAACGGGAGGATAATATATTTACATAAGTTGTCAACACCCCCACCCTCACATGCAGACGTGACCTCTGACTTGTCTTTGCTTGATGGCCTCTTCTCTGTTGGCACATTTCTTGTTGATATTAAATACTTTTGTCAACCTCAAGAGCTCACCACAAGATCTCAACCTCAAACACCTCATCGCCATGAAACATCTCCAGCTGAACGCCCAAAGGCGCTCTCTGTTCATTGTGTAACATGGTTAGCTCTGAGAGCGGAACATGTGAAAATATTCGTTTTACATGGGTTTCATTTCCTTGCTTAAAAGACGGTGGAGTTTAAATATCCTTTGTGGATTTTCTCTAGTCGCTTGCATCATGTCTGTTAGGTTGATGGTGATTTTAATTTGGCTTTTTGGTGTGTGAGTGTGTGCATAGATGTATTTCTCTATGTGTGGGCTTGTGATGGGCTGGAAACCTGCCCAGGTGCTGCCCCACCTTTTACCTAATGACTGGTGGAGAGGGACACCAGTTTCCTATGAATCTTTAAGATCAAAACTCCTGCAGGAACTGGAAATTGGTATTGCCTTCAAGCTCAAAATTAGTGCACCTCCTGATGAAGAGTTTATAAAAAATATGGATAGATGGACTTTTCAGTTACACACTAAAAACAGTTTGGTCACAACCCAATCTGGGCGCTAGCCCAGCAGAAGTTGTTTTGACCAGCAAGATGGCTCGGTCTGTTTAACCCAACCACTGAGTTAGAATTTACAACTCAAACCCTGAGTCAC